TTTTGCTTTCCTCCGCCCCTTCGAATATTAGCACCATCATCCTTGAAATTGTCTCCGGCATACTCGGGTGGGTCTTGGTCTAGATTCGTGTTTGGTCCTATGACACGTCTCACTAATATATTTTGGTCGTCCCGTCCCCACATACAAAAACACTATCTACAATTGAAAGGAAAAGTATACACAAATATAGACAAAGGAGCAACGTACATCGACTCGTAATGAGAATCACTGGACTTATCTTCGTTGGCTGAAATCACTATCAAATTCGATGCTTAACCTTCCCCAGCAACGGCGCCAAATATGCTTGACTTGCCATCCACCCTAATCTCCAAACATGATTCCGATTGTGTGTACATGGCTTATACGAATAGGTGAGTGTCACTCTCTCTTGAGAAATGAGAAAAAATTGTGTGTGAAAAAGTATGTGAAAGTGCTCCCCAAGCGAAAAGAGTCTTGCAATGTTTTGTTTTACTTGAAATGGGTATTCTAATGTCGTTTCCTCATAGAAGGTAGGTCAAATTATTGTGAAGGGTGATTTTGTAAAGAAATGAAAATAAGAAAATCTTTTGAATTGAGTTTTGGTGAGTGGTGTTTTGATAAAAATGCAAGAAAATAAGGTTGGCTAATCCATAGGAGTCTTTCCAATTGGAATGTCAAATCAACTAAATTCATTCAACCAATGGTGTCTAGGTGTTTTATTGATTTGTAAGAAGTGAGGAACTAATGTGGAGGTGTTGGACTCAAGCATACCCCGTGACAAGTCTACGATGTATCAGGAGCTCACAACTACGTCCGCACTCAACCTAGTCAAACCAAACACTTTACAATACAAGGAAGAATGGATGAGAGTTGATTTCACATACGCAAGAGGAAATTCCCCTTGGATTGGACAACTAAAAGTCTAACTACTCATGATNACCGCACTCAACCTAGTCAAACCAAACACTTTACAATACGAGGAAGAATGGATGAGAGTTGATTTCATATACGCAAGAGGAAATTCCCCTTGGATTGGACAACTAAAAGTCTAACTACTCATGATNCCGTAATGAGAATCACTGGACTTATCTTCGTTGTCTGAAATCACTATCAAATTCGATGCTTAACCTTCCCCAGCAACGGTGCCAAATATGCTTGACTTGCGATCCACCCTAATCTCCAAACATGATTCCGATTGTGTGTATATGGCTTATACAAATAGGTGAGTGTCACTCTCCCTTGGGTTCGATACTAGAAATGAGAAAAAATTGTGTGTGTGAAAAAGTATGTGAAAGTGCTCCCCAAGCGAAAAGAGTCTTGCAATGTTTTGTTTTACTTGAAATGGGTATTCTAATGTCGTTTCCTCATAAAAGGTAGGTCAAATTATTGTGAAGGGTGATTTTGTAAAGAAATGAAAATAAGAAAATCTTTTGAATTGAGTTTTGGTGAGTGGTGTTTTGATAAAAATGCAAGAAAACAAGGTTGGCTAATCCATAGGAGTCTTTCCAATTGGAATGTCAAATCAACTAAATTCATTCAACCAATGGTGTCTAGGTGTTTTATTGATTTGTAAGAAGTGAGGAACTAATGTGGAGGTGTTGGACTCAAGCATACCCCGTGACAAGTCTACGATGTATCAGGAGCTCACAACTACGTCCGCACTCAACCTAGTCAAACCAAACACTTTACAATACAAGGAAGAATGGATGAGAGTTGATTTCACATACGCAAGAGGAAATTCCCCTTGGATTGGACAACTAAAAGTCTAACTACTCATGATCAAAGTAAGAACAAGCATAATGTAATGAGACATGGTAGTGAAATAAACCATAAGACTTGTATTGATGCAAGGAAAAGTTTAGACTATAAGAACAATATCATTCAATCCCAACTTACATGCTTAAAGAAGAAAATACCCATATGTAGAAATTGAAATGCTAAAACACTTGATTAAACTAGATTACAACTTGAATGGAAGAGTTTAAAGTGAAAGTAAGAAAGATTACAAGTCTTTTAAAGTATGCTAGAATGAAAATGGTGGAGGACTTGTGAAAACCTGACTTTCTCTCCCTAAAACTTCATTTTCTTCTTTGAGCTTCTCTCTCTAAACTTGTGTAGCAAAACTGAATAATGGTGTGTANTATGCTAGAATGAAAATGGTGGAGGACTTGTGAAAATCTGACTTTCTCTCCCTAAAACTTCATCTTCTTCTTTGAGCTTCTCTCTCTAAACTTGTGTAGCAAAACTGAATAATGGTGTGTAGCTAGTCAAAATTTGTCCATACCCTCTCCTTGGTCTGTGAGAATTGAGTTTCTATGATTGGAAGGGGTATAGGTACTACTACAAGCAACCACAGGCCCAACATTGCCTCTTCCATGCTTCCCCCAACCACTCCTCTTCTCTCGCCTCCTCCTCCCTGCCTTGTCTTCCAAAATAAGGCTTTCGGTGAAAGAGAGCATTATAGTGTGTCATAGATGTCAGGGCATGTGTGGGGTGACAAGAGGTGGGCTCCCGAATTAGGTGGAGTTGAGATTTCATACTTCTGGCGTTTCTGGGCAAAACCTATCGGTAGAACGATTAAAAAACCTACCGATAGGTTTTTTCCAATAGGCGAAATCTACCAGTAGTACGATCATAAAACCTATCGATAGGTTTTTTTCGGTAGGCAAAACCTGCCGATAGGTTTTGGCAGAGGCTGTAGTAGAAGACATCAAGTGTACTAAACCTACCAATAGGTTTTGATGAACTTCTATCGGTAGGTTTTATCATGTTTTGGTATTTCCTTGATCTCTTGATGTCCTGAGCCATCCGTTAAGCCTCCTCTTCTTCTCCATTGACTTTAAGTACTTGATGGGAGGCTTAATTCACGCCCTTACCTACTCTTTACATACAATCACACGAGTCTCTATTAAAAGTGAGTTTAAAAGCATTTTCCCTCATTTTCACCATAAAAACAAGTATAAATGGGTGCAAAGAGATATATGATGTGCAACATTCCATGCTCATCAATGATTGTAAATCGAGAGTGTCTCCTCAGCTCCTGTCATCATTATTCCCCCTGGCGCCATTGTACGAACCGAGTTACACTGAGCCAGGAACGCCAAGTCATCCAAAGGTGTTCGACATCGATATGTCGAGGGGTGCCGACTTGTTTCTACACCCTGCTTGGTGTGGGTAGACTTTTGTAAGTTGTTGAAGCGTTTGGGATCTATCTGCGAGATAGAGCATGCCCCCTATTTCGACGCTAGACCTCGTGCAATGATCACTCTTCCGACGGAACGAAGCAGAGGGTGCCAATTGTCCGTGACTAATTGGTCTAACAGACCTCGTCCCGTCATTTATTATTTTAGAAAAATGTATGGAAAGATATCCAAGTTAAGAGAGTAGAAGCTTATACAAATATTTTTTTATGCTTCACCCTTTAATCCCAACACATGCTTAACATTTTAGTATCAAATGGTGGGGAATTTGGCAGGAGACAATATATCTAGAATATGACCAGAAGCATTTTCAGCATTATTAAGTAACAGTCATGTAAGTATTGATAAATTTCTCCATGTAAGGGTCTAGCGTTAATGTCAATCAATAAATTTGCAACTTCGTAAGTTTATCTTTGATGTGTGTGTGTCACATATGCTGTGATAGAAGTGTTGAACATGGTGAACATATAATCTTCTTCACATAATATGCCTGGTAAGCTCATAGTTGCTTGTCTGTTTCTCTTGTGTGGATCAATGTGCTCCCCAAGTGTAGAAATGGTCTATCGTATAATAATTCGGAATATCTAAGATCATCAACAGGAACCAGGGCGATTTTTGTTTGGATTTTCAAATGTTGTTGAGATTATCAAACATTGCAATGAACTTTTAATAGAAAAATAATCAATTAATCCTCGAAATTTATCTCATAGGATAATTAATTCTTAATTATGACTCATCTAAACTCGTAATCAAACTAACTTAGACTAAAAATACTCAACGAAATCAGATTTTGGAACATATATGTGCTCTTGATGATAAAATAATTTATGGGACAATGGATATTATGTTGATTGCTGGCTGGGACTCCAAGCATTATCCGTGCCAAAAAAAATCAAGTAATCAAAAATGTTTATGAATCAATTATGTTTTCAAAAATAATTATTTTGATCAACAAAACAACGCCGAACACTAACAACCCTTTTAAGAATCAATATCACCTCATTACAGTTGTGACTCCTCCCTTGGATTATGCCGAAGCTAACTTAGGTGGACATAATAATACCCATTAAACTAACAAGGATGATGATAAACATGGAAGACAATTGCTGATATTAAAAAGATTTAACTTCTAATAAAGATTTCTGAAAATANTTTATGAATCAATTATGTTTTCAAAAATAATTATTTTGATCACGCCGAACACTAACAACCCTTTTAAGAATCAATATCACCTCATTACAGTTGTGACTCCTCCCTTGGATTATGCCGAAGCTGACTTAGGTGGACATAATACCCATTAAACTAACAACGACGATGATAAACATGGTAAATATAAGGAAGACAATTGCTGATATTAAAAAGATTTAACTTCTAATAAAGATTTCTGAAAATAACAAGTTTAATACAAGAACTAAAACAACCCAACAAGTGCTAAAGAATGGAAATGAAATGGCTCTCTCAAATATATATGTATCACTCTGTATCTATATATGTGTGTACGTGCAAATGTGTATGTGAGTGAGTGTGTAGGTGTTTGTGTGTGGGTGTATGGTCTTCCTTCTATACATTGTCTATTTATAGGCAAAACCCATGCGCAGCGTTTGTGCACATTATTGCCCAAGCTGCGTATTGACGCTTATCGTCTGAAGATTCAGGACGCTTATCTTCTGAAGATTCAAGACCCTGCTCACGGATGAAATGTTTTTCTCCATAGTGTCCCAACNAGTGGACATGGGCATGAGAAAGTGGGCACGAGTGTGTAGGTGTCTGTGTGTGGGTGTATGGTCTTCCTTCTATACATTGTCTATTTATAGGCAAAACCCATGCGCAGCGTTTGTGCACATTGCCCAAGCTGCGTATTGACGCTTATCGTCTGAAGATTCAAGACCCTGCTCACGGATGAAATGTTTTTCTCCATAGTGTCCCAACAGCTTCGGGCGAATGTATATACATACATATATGATCTCTCCCGCAGACTACTGCCGTAAAGCATGGGTTGCAGTAAATGCAGCGCTGCTGAGCTTTGGCTTACGAATGAACCAGTACAAGAGTGATGAAGAACCGGTACAACGTTGAACTGGTAGAAAGTGAGACTATTCTGAATGAGGAAGAACCAATACAAATTGGAATAGTCGGTACTCTGTTTCTCAATGAACCGGTACAAGTATGCCTTTTTCATGTTGTGCTGCCATTGATCCGCAATGCTTCGCATTCATCCTCTGATCCACNCATATATGATCTCTCCCGCAGACTACTGCCGTAAAGCATGGGTTGCAGTAAATGCAGCGCAGCTGAGCTTTGGCTTACGAATGAACCAGTACAAGAGTGATGAAGAACCGGTTGGACGTTGTTTTTGCCATGAACTGGTAGAAAGTGAGACTATTCTGAATGAGGAAGAACCAATACAAATTGGAAGAGTCGGTACTCTGTTTCTCAATGAACCGGTACAAGTATGCCTTTTTTCATGTTGTGCTGCCATTGATCCGCAATGCTTCGCATTCATCCTCTGATCCACTTCCTAAATCATTCTATTGAGTCCAAATCATCCATCCTTATATTGAATTACCTGCAATTACTCAATTTACACATTAAACACAAATTTAGTCTAAGTGAGGCTATTAATTATCGAGCTAGAGCTAGAGCTAGCTAAAGTGATCAGGTTAAGATATGCAGAAATATATGCTCAACAATAGTCCTCACAGTGATACTGATGTTGAGTTTGGTGAGAAACAATTTTTGCATGTCTATTTTAATTGGCTGTCTTCACATTGTGCTTTCAATAACTTAAGTAGCGTTCATAAGCTGAAGCCACCACCAACCAGGGTTGCATCTCTATCTACCATCTCAATATATCAAAAAACACCTGGGTTAAGCAATTTTGGTGAGGATTAATAGGGGAAAACTCACACACACACTCTTTACTATATACAAAGCAAGGAAATGGGAGAAGCCAGATATGAGCTATACCCCCCATATCTATTGGCACCACCGATACCCATGCTTCACCAGTTTGTGAGGGCCTTGGCTTACATGGAAGGTCACACTCAAGACTCCATCACCAAATCTAGCACCACCATTATTCGTGTTTGGATATACATAAACTTTTCAACACAAGGAAATGCATGCGGTTTCTGAGAGAGGCAGTCTCACATTCGAATCAACAACTCGCAATTGTTTGTCTAATACTTTTATCACTGCACTAGGCAAGGGCCTTTTATATATTTTTCTCAACGAAAAAGGTCATTGGATATTAATTTTTCGCTAAGTACAGATACAATAATGTTACGTGTACTGGGATCAAATGTCTCTGTTAAGGCCTCGTACTTTTATGGATATCAAAACCATGCTAAACCTCCCACCTGACTAGTCTAACTATGGGAGCATTGTCTTCTACCAAAACGCATGCTTTCTGTTTCACAATTCTGGACCAGAATAGTTATGTTGGAGACCAACCAATACGAGCCAAGACCTCAACCAATCTGAAGATTGTAAACCCTATGAAATGAGCCAAATCTGATCCCTTGTTGAAGAGCTAACTAAGCATTCTTTAATATGGCCACAATATGTCCAAGCTTGCAAGGTTCTACTGGGGTTAGTTTGCCCCTGTAGCTTCAGATAATGCAACCAGCTGCACACAACTAGGATGAGGTCTGAAAGAAGCCATCAAAGTTTATATTCCAGTCACACATTTGCAAGAAGAACAGATGCAAACTCCCTATGCTATCTACACCTATGTTCATTGCCTAAAACATGGCAATTAGCTTTCTTATTAATACTTGGAATTTTGAAAGTAAGACAATGTACCGCTTGATAATCAGATATGGCTTACGGGCTTCACTATTGAACTTTACGAACGGCTTATCTTCCCATACGCAACAAAGAAAGGACAGTTCTTCAAAAACCAAATTGAGAAAAGGTTGTTAATTCAAAGATCATCATTTGGTTATGGACATTGTGTACCTGAATCTAACATGGTGGATATTCAGTCCGTAATCAGATTATTTCCTTCAGAAAAAGAAATCAAACTCCAGAAAGAAAATGTTATTGTTGCTTTTTCTACCAATAATCAAGGCAGGAACAACCGCCCTCCTTAAAATGATGAAATCTGCTTCCATCCCTAACTACAATGTGCCTCTCAAACACTTTTGAAACAATCTTGCAAAACTCATGGCAATCCTCACATACCCTCAAATTCTTCACAATTCGAATGCACTCCCCAGGCCCCATTACCAACAAACCAAAAGAAATTGCTAGCCTCTCACTGTGCTCCTTAATTGCGTTCTCTTTTTCTTCCTCCCCTATATCATGTAAAACTGGTGAAACGTTTGGCAAGTAGCCAACCTCTGCAATTCGTCTTCCAATAGTTTCAAGCATCTTGTAAACCTCTGGAGATCTCTCATGCTCTCGGTCCCCAGCAACAAAATGATCAACTCTTCCCTGCGTTTCAATCAGGCTCCAGCCTGGAACTTTATTAGCTTTCCGACCAACCATTAATCTTCTAACTTTAATTACATCTTCCCATTTCATTGATTTTGCGTAAATACTAGCTAACTGTACATAATTTCCATCATGATTTGGATCCAATTGTAGTAGTTCACAACCAATCTCTTCACCCAATGCTACTAACCCATGAACCTTACAAGCACCAAGTAGAGTTACCCATAGAACTGGATCTGGTGGAACTCGCATTTTTTCAATCAATTCAGTAGCCTCACCAACAAAGCCAGCACGACCCAAGAGATCAACCATGCATCCATAATGCTCCATCTCCGGCTCAATGCCATATCTTTCGATCATCAACTTAAAATAGTTACGACCCTCACTGACTAAACCTGCTCGACTACAAGCATTCAAGACCCCAATGAAGGTCACATTAACTGGCCGAAATCCTTCAATTATGAACATTTCGAAAACTGCAAGAGCTTCCTTCCCAAGTCCATGGGCTGCCAAACCACAAATCATCACATTCCACGTTGAAACATCTTTTAAGGGCATATTATTAAACAAGACCCTAGCTTGCTCAATCCACCCACATTTGGCATACATGTCTACAAGACTTGTGCCAATAGGCACCGTCATTGGAATATTCAAAGAATCTATAATGGAATGAACTAATCGCCCATGTTCAAGCAAACCCAATTGGGCTGATGCCGAAAGCACCATCACCAATGCAGCCTCATTAGGTATCAACCCATTCTCTCTCGTTTCCTTAAAGCACTCCAAACCTGCTTCTAACTGCCCATTTTGCACGTAACCCGTTATCATCGTACTCCAAGATACAATATCTCTTTCGGGAATTTCTCCAAACAACTTCTCCGCAATACCCATCTGCCCATCCCTGGCAAATCCCACCAACATCGCATTCCAAGTCACCACATCTCGGCAATGAGGACTCTCATCAAACACCCTTTTTGAACATTCAACTCTACAACAAGCGTTATATAAGTGTATCAAAGAATTTCTAATATAAATATCATCGCCAAAACCAAGTTTTACAACATGAGTATGCACTTGAGTGCCTTCAGCCAAAGCCAAAGCCTTGCTGCAAGCTTGTAGTACAAAAGGAAAAGTATAATTATTAGGACTGACACTGCTTCGGCGCATAGAGGCGTAGAGAATGATGGATTTGAGCGGTGATTCGCCCTTTGCGAAGCACCGGATCATGTTATTGAGGTCGAAAACACTTGGCGCTTCGATGGTTTGGAAGATAGAGAGAGAATAGTCAATTGGGGTTGATGGGGACTGAGCCAAGGCAGCAAGGAGGTGACCCATGAGGTGGATATGTCCAGCGAGGCCGCCGGCGATGATTTGGGCATGGGCTTGCTTGGTTTGTTTGAGGGAAGGGTGAGGTGGGAGAGAAGAGAGTGGGGAGTGGAAATTGGCTGGTAAAAAGGGAGGATTTGAGGAGTGCTTTGGGAGGGAAAGAAGAGACTTTCTGGGTATGTTAGCAAACATAAAAACATGGGAATGAGAGTGAAAGCTGAAAAAGATGTTATCAAACGTTTGATTTATGGCAAGATTTTATACAGAAAGTTTTGATGGATTCTTGAAATTGACACTGAGGCTAATAAGCTTAGGCACTTTGTCAGAGCTCTGTATAGGAATGTCTACCAGTTTTGTTGCTTTTGTTCCCTGGTTCTCTTTTAATGGAAAGTCTATCGAATTTTTGGTATGTTTTTGATATTGTAGTACAAATTTATTATTTTAAATTATAAAATTATAATTAATTGAACAAAATTTAAGATTAATCCTGGATACCATTATTGATCATGGGATTCTTTTAACCGTTTGTAATTTGACCTTTAAAAGTTATAATTTAACTATTAAAAATTGTAGTTTTTACGATTAATCGCACTGTTTTAAATCTGATAATATCCTTTACAAGTTATAATTTACACCTTAAAAAAATATAATTTTCGATATACCAACATATATTAGTGCGAGTGCTTAATTCCTTTTACTGCCCATCAAATCAATGATCGATATTATGTTTGTGAACTATGTTGCCTTACACTTTCATTAGCAAATTATTAGAAAATTATTGTTCAATAGTCCAGCAAATTACTGTTTCAGTATTGAAAATGTGCAGTACCCTTATCCATCTACAACTTTCAGATTAGATTCTGAGATAATTGAGAGGTTCATTAGCAAGGAAGACCAAAACTCTAAGAAAAGGAAATACATAAAAAGGTCACATACTCATCTCTCTATCTGCTAGCTGTACATTCAAATCCATCTGTTCTTATGACTCTACATTCACATATTTTCTCAGAACTTGTAAACAACTGAGGTCTTCAACCTGTTCTAACAGTAACCCAATTTTCTGATGACACCAACTGACCCTTTGTCCTCTTCCTTTGTGACATTCCTTCTCTATGCCCACAGCTTTTCATTGACAATGGAGTTCTGTTAATAAACTCACTTCCATCGGACGATTCGTCTGAGTCACAATCCTCTTCATTAATCCCAACATCTAAGATACTTGCTGGTGAGCAAGCAGCATCACTCTTTCTGAAATTCCAATCCTCTGGCTTTCCCAGCACAAATGGATGGTTCAGCAATTCTTTAGCAGTCCACCTCATTTCCGGGTTCCTGTCCAAGCATTTTGACAAGAAATCCAGTCCCTCGTCTGAAAACTGAGGCGGGAATCGTGGCATCTCATTCCCGCGTGCAATCCTCAAAATCACAGCCATTGGATTCGAAAGATCCTCACTCCACGGAGGCTTGCCTGTGGCCATTTCAATCATTGTGCACCCTAAAGACCAAATATCTGCAGCAAAATCCAGGCCTTCATTTCTCAAAACTTCCGGAGCCATCCACAAGGGAGTTCCACCAATGTATTTACAAGATTGTGTTGAAGTCTCATTAATCCTCAAGTCACTTGGTCTCTTTGCACATCCAAAATCTGCCAACTTGATGCTTCCTGATGAGCCCAAAAGCACATTCTTGCACTTGAGATCCGAGTGCACGATCCCATTCTCATGGAGATAATTCAAACCCTTGAGAATTTCTCGAATGTACAAACGAATAACGTTCTCATCCAATGCCCCTCCAAATTTCTCTGCTACGTTTGCTAAACTTTCCCCGGCCATGTACTCCATGAAGAGATTAAGTTTTCTTTCACCATTTACGCCATTTAACACTTCCCTTCCTATGTAATGCACAATGTGGGGAGAATTCAAGTTCTCGAGAATGTTGGCCTCGTTCGCAAGACATTGAATTCCTACCTGCGATTCTGCAGATTTCACAACAAAAAGTGCCCCGGTGGCCTTGTTCATGGCCAAGTGAACAATGCCAAACGATCCCGATCCAATCACTTTTCCCTTTATCCATTCGCTAGGATTTGGATACAAGCAATGGCAGTTTCCATCCATTTCCTCTTCTTCAATTTGTTATAAGTAAATTGGGTAGACAATTTGTGTACCAAATTCACAAACTGGAATTTCCAATCTTTCAACATGCATACAGATTGGAAGTTATCCCCCAAATGATTCTAAAAACGTATGCACAAAAGTGGAAACTTCAAGGAAAATGCAAAAAATGGCTACAAGGAGAGAAAAAATAGATTGAAACTTGTTCTTTTTCCTCTCAAATGAAGTGCTAGGACTTGTCTGTTTGCCAAAATCTAATCAAAACAACATGAAATGCAGTGGATAGAGCGGATTTCCTGATGCCGGAAAACCGCCCCCCAAGAAACACACACACACTCTCTCTATGTACAGGTTTCTTCCTACTTGTGTTGGAGAGAGAAAAAAATATGGAGATTTGAATGGAGGGTTATGTTTACACATTGGTTTCTTGGAAGAGGGCGGTTGGTGATGCAAGAATTTTGGAATTCTTGAAGTCTGATTGGCTGTTGAACTGTAAGAAAGGGATGAATGGGTAACTGCCAAGAGGCAAAGAGACACCTGAAAAAACAGAAAAAAATGAGTAATTTTTTGAAAGACTTAAAAATTAGACTTGATAATTTCAACCATCGATAAAAAACTTAATAAAAATCTTGGTAAGTAGTGTTGTTGGGAAAAAAAATTTACAATAATGCTATGCTAACCAAATTTTGGAACCAAATTTAGAGCCCAAATGACATAACAATATATTATTTTGAATGTTTATTGGGGTCCAAATGACATGACACCAAATAAAAAAACTCAAGTCAGCTATTATTTGGAGTGTTTATTGGGACCCAAATGACATGACATCAAATAAAAAAGACCAAATCAGCTGTCATATCATTTGGACTCTAAATTTGGTCCAAAAATTTGGTTAGTATAGCATTATTGAAAAATTTATTGCAATAGTAATACTATGTCAGCATTATCACGCGGTATCACCAATCAATAATATGTAAACAAATAAAAAAATAGATCCCACACAAACTAATAACTAACTGTCATATAAGATAACTAAGGGTAATCCATGCCTGAAGATACAATACAACGTAAGTAAGAAGTGATAAGATTTGGAGGAGAATTCAATGTGAATGGTTTTGAGAGGAATGTTGGTGGTCGTTTGATGAATTTATTTGAGACCGTCAGATGAACTTATTGAAATCTGCTCTATTTTATATTATATAATATAATTATTCACTCTTCTTACACATAAATAAATAACTATTTGAGTGTGATTCACTTTATTCATTATTTGTTGGTAATATCATGTTAGCAGTGTCAGCATGGTATTACCGTTACATTGAATAATAATGATTTTAAAGAAGAAAGAAATATAATAAATCAACCGTTTATGATCTGATGCTCATATCTTCAATTTCCATCGCATTAGAACGCTTCTCGTGAAATGGTAGATACTCACTCGAATACAATTGATCTTATCCAATTCATCATTATAATGTTATTTGATGATTTTAGCATACGAGAATCAAAAGAAATTAATATTGTTAGAGATCGCGATCCAAAAATTGGCCCGGCCCATACATAACCGAGTAGGGAATTCTTAGGAAAGCCTTTGTTTTCCTCCCGGGACTAGGTGAGAACACCTTCATGTGTTATCCAACGAAGGAATGATGCCATTGTTTGATATAACAAGGTTTTTGAAGAAAAATGGCGAAAATAAAATTTACTCTTCTAGCACTGCATTCGGTTTATGGGAAAGTTCATGAGGAAATTAAAATTTGAAACCTCCAAACAATGCATAAAGGTCGTAGCCAGTACATGATGGGATTTGAAGAGTAGGTTGTATTATATATATTCCAGGTTGACTGATTCCCAAATTCAAAATCACCACGAATTGCTTGGACGAATAAGCACTCATTATTATCCCAGACCCGATGTGTGATTTTATCTAAAATGCGGGAACGTTCGAGGACATAACATACACCCACCAACATGGTTTTAGCTTCAGCCACATTCAAAGAAAGAGGCCCTTCCTTCCCCTCAAGGGCAGCCAAGGCAGGGAGGATCACACCAGAACTATCATGAGAAACAACACCAAGACACAAACCATAATCCGATCCCGCTGCATCAGCATCAAACTCAAGCCAAACAGATGAAAGGAACTTTCTAGCTGCAGGAGAGTTTGTTCATAGGAATCGATAAAAGTAGAAATTTTGCCATCAAAATGTCCTTGTCCCACTTCTGTCAGTAAAATGCCAAAAGAAAATGAGTCAAGTTGGAATCTGCAAATTTCAAATTGTTTTTACATATAATGGCCCGGATCATTGCCTGTAATGTCATTATGTATCTATACATGAGGCTTACAATTTAACCAGGGCGGCTAAATCAAATTTTCTGAAATGCAGAGTGATTTATGCACTATTATTTCTGAATGATCAACCGATTCAGCCATCTTGTAATTTGTGGAATATTGTAGAAGCTTTCTCACAGCCCCATCTTTTTACAGGTGTAGCTATAAATATTTTGTAAAAGACTTCTAGAACCTTCCTCTGCAGGCAGCTTCAGAAGACGAGCAACTCTTGAGAATCCAACGTGTTGCCTGAACAAAGAATCTTCCTTTACTTCCGGCTCCATCTCATGCCTGGAAATTTGTGGTTGCGAAAATGCCCATTGCATTGCCCATATTGCCAAAGGCCGCATGTAACCTATAGATCTGTATTGGTCATCCATGCTCCAAGCTTCTGGAGTTTGAAAAGAATAGCTGTCAAAGGAACAGCAGCGTGTTAGTGCGATAGCATAAGAAAATTTAGGGGAACAAACATTTTTTTTTAAAAAACTTCAAGCAATCAAAAAATGGATATTTATGCAATGTCATGGAGGCAAATACCTTAAGTAGCAGCAATAAACGCAGAAAATTTTATAGGGTTATTTCTCGTAAGTCATCTTTTCATAAAAAGTCAAAGCTACCGACTATGCAGTTTTTCTCATTAAGGTTTAAATGTCGTTGAAGCCACTTTATGCGCGGAGGGACCCCAGTATAAAGGGGTGCCACGTTGGTGTACAAGTAGTACCAAGTTCATGAAAATGTTATATACTTACAGATAACAATTGATCAAACACAATTAATAAGTTAGAGAGCAGAAAGAGTAGGCATTTATTTGAAATCACATCTTGTACTAGAGAAGAACCATTACCCTTATCGTGCTTTCATCAATTTGATATGGAACTATAGAATATTTTATCATGTCAATTTTTTTGTTTCTAGTAATATACTTTACGTTTTCCAATTCAAGTTGTTAAGAAAATTATAAACGTGGTTAAAGTACTTCAAAATGAGAGTGCTTGGGTATAATAGTTCACCAACTTTCCCATCTTCCTTTAACTGTGTGTTCTCTTTTATCTAATAGAGGACATATGGTGACCTCCAGGTTACAGCTATAAGCAATTAGAAATTGTGGCCTTCTGAGTTGGTAGGCCAACCCACGGGTATACCATGATGTTCCAACGGTTATACCGGTGATCTGGTTAATCAACTCCTGAAGCAAAATAAGCAAAAGGGACGAGCTTCATGGATCAATATGCACTGCTAAAATATGGAAAATCCATAGATCAAAATGTGATTTATCGATGGTATGAACTTCTTAACTAGTCTTGGTTTTACGACAAGAAATACTTTGATATTTTGAGTAAACCTTGGAAGTAGAAGGCAGGCCGGAATGCCAAGAGCCACTATTCACTAATTCACCCAGCTGAATAGTACCCAGTTTAAAATAATGTTCAACAACCTTGAGCCTGGAATGGCGAAGTTTGAGAGTAATGTTTCCCCTGCTGCTCTGCTTTTGAGTGGTGGAACTCTTACGAGAATGAATTCTTTTACATTTCAAAACAAAGGCAGCAATTCATTGGGTTGGCCTGGGGAATTCTCTCAGGAAGTTTAAAAAGTTCTAGATAATCTCGATCATTAGCCAAAGTCATTCATGGTCCTTGATGAGATCTATAGCCTATTTTTCCGCCAACAAGGTCTCTATAGGCACTTGATAATGATTGCTAGAGAGGAGAAATGCTATCCCATTCAAGACTGTAACATTTACATGAGTTTTTTTTGAAATGTTTTATTTGTGCTAAGTTGTTGGCTTCCAAAATATGTTTCCCCAACTGAAGAAAGAAAAGGATAAGTAAAACAAAACTAACCCAAGCCCTTCTTTGGACCAAGCAGCTTCATAGACTCCACCTGCAGTTTGAAAAGCCATATCCACCATGCCCTCGTGAATCATAGTTGCAGCAACACCATATGTAACACCAGTCCATATTTCTCTTGACTGCATACTTGACAAGTCAGGTTCTCCATTGGGCAGCATCCCATTCAGAGCCCCCCGCCTCCCATTCTTCACCTTCAAGACATTGAAATTAAAAATCTTCTCGAGTGCTACTTTTGCTTTTTCTTCATCAACAATGGGTGAGAGACCACATGCTCGGGCATACCTACAAAGTAGAAATGTAATTATCATATGTTAGTTAGAAAATAATTTTCTTCTGGCCCTTGATTGAATGTGGGCAATGTATACTCATACTACTCGAAGTATCTTCCTTGTCGATCGATATATAAATGTGCATGCACTCATTGGGTTGAAGTTGTCAGATATAAAAAAAATACATCAGAATCAGTCTAACATAAACCAACTACTTTCATATTATTAAGCCTTTTTATTTAAGTTCAAAAATACCCCTAGTAATTATAACTACCCTCTTAACATATGATATTTCAGTAGGAACATATGCATATATGTATATATGTGTATAGACATATATTTATAACAGGTACAAGGGTAGCATACGCAGCCAATGATTAAATGGAGACATTAAGGCATCAATAATTAGCATTTTGAAGGTACTTTTCTTGCTTTTGAAAATAAAAGAATAAAACAAAATAAAATAGAGCAAACACCCTTTTCAAGATTGCAAAAGTACTTCAAACATGCTAACTGCAGAGCCAAATCATGTAGTAGCAGCACCTTTAGTTCTTCTGAATTATATGGGATCAGATAATATTAAGAGGTACTAAGAAGTTATTGCTATCGCAACAAACCATTGTCCAGCCAACTGGTCAGCTTGAATAGATGAACTTGCACTTCCACCACTGTTGTCGTAGTTAAAATAGGAACCATTCCACAACTTCTCGTATACCCTCTTTGCCTTCTGAAATTTAAACCAAAAATAATCTGCAGAATCCTTGTCACCAACTTCACGTGCTATAGCTGAAGCAGCCTGCAAGGCTGCAACCCACAGCCCTCCACAATAGGCACTAACACCAGAGACAGACCATGTATCATATGTCTGATCAGGAAAACCTTCATTTTCTATCATCCCATCCCCGTCCTTATCAAATTGTTCCATGTAAGCCATTGCAACATAAACTGAGGGCCAAACAGCTTGTGCAAACTTTTTGTCGCCTGTGGCAACCACATCCCTGTAAACTTGCAGAACAAACTTTGGATTCAAATCCTTCCACCTATCTGTATTGTGCAGGTTATAATAGTTTATTTCAAACCATGGATCATTCATTCCAATATCATGAGGAACAGCACCAAGCACCTTCCTTGACACCAGGCTTCCATCTTGCAGAAGTGCCATCTTACTGGGATCATGCATCATCACTGCTGCTGCAAAGTCCCTTTGGATACTTAGTTCAAGTTTTGGGAATAGCATGGCTAAGGCAAAAGATGCATAGAAATGAACATCATATGTGTTACACATGTGATATTCAATCCCTTCTAGATAAAGAAATTGTCCAATGTTTTCCTCTCCCTTTTGCAGCAAATTTGTTCCAAAAGCAGAAGTTACTGATTCTGGAGCGTGAATCTCCTCAAGTAATGAAGTCATCCTACCGAGAATGTCAACAGCAGTATCATTTTCATGGGATGTATTGATACTGCTTTCAAGATCCAAATTGGACCTATCAAGGGAAAACTTTCTTCCACCAATGGTTGATAAACTATGCACTGGAGGTGACCCATCTACAGTAGGGCAAAAAGATGAACTCAGATCTACTTAATGGGGCCAATGCTGAAAAACAAAGGTTCATATTCCACAAGTACCTGTCCAAATTGTTCCCCCTGCATTAAGATAGTAGAGCTCATTGAAAAGCGTGACTGGGTACCTGCAGAAGACCACTGGAAAGTTCAAAATTTGACTGTAGAGGTCAGTCTGCAAATGAACATCCAAGCTCACCATTCGGGAAGCCTCTTGTCTTCAAGTATAGGTCTTTGCCACGACTCTATCTGGGACTCCCAAAGGCCATGCTCTGAGTTTTTGAAAATAAAAATAAGGCTGTGAAACTACAATTGTGGGGAAATAAATTTTACAAGAGAACTTTGTCTCTGATGCTGATGAACAAGAACCAAATTTAGGATGGGAGTTTTATAATATTATCCAGAGTGCATTCCACAAACATTAGAACACAAATGGCTCAACTGAGTCTTCCAATGCAGAGAGACACAAAGGAAACTTTACCAAGAATGGCTTGACGTGCAATATTGGCAGCCGCGTCTCCACTGGTTCCACAGAATCTGGTGTAACGCCTGATTACAAATTTTTATTTTTTTAGTTTGAACAGGACATGATTTTTTAATGTGATATAAATCAGACATGCTTTTGGCCACCCACCTCTGATAAGTCCTTCCACTTGGGAAGCTTACTTCGGGGCAGTCCCATGCCAGTGAAAATGTAACAGTATGTACTGCAGCTGAGGGGATTGTCAGTGAAGCTGCAACGGCTGCCCCGATAGACGACCCTGGCTCAGAAGACATTGACATTTTGGTAGAATTGAGGTGATCAAAGGATCCACGCTGTTAGAACAGAAGTACAGATCAAAATTTGTAAAGAATCATGATTTAATAAAGACAAGGGGAGAAAAATAGAAATATGTAAATAAATAAATAAAACAGGCTTTGAATGTTATGGCACTAAGGGAAATCTTAAGCATCAAATATCTCAATCTGCTTTCTCCACTACATGTAAATTGTAAACTTAAACTCACCCATTGACATAGGAACAGGGACAAGAAAAGAATGCAGATAAACTATTAAACAGGAAAAAAAAAACACAAAAAATTACAAATAAACCCTCCATAACCTTTATATGGTACTATTTTTAACCAACACTGATGTGGAATTACTTATCAAAGGCACTTTCCTATTAGCCCTGATGTAGGATTAACCGAAAACTAATCGAGGACAGCTTTCGTAGACATGGAGTAGTGATGCCTACAATTAATTTCATCTATGGTTAGGATTTAAGAAACAGACAAAAGGTTGTAAGCTTTCTGGATGGAAAGAGGGTTGGAATCAGCTTGATTCCAGAATAGTTTGGTCTTTCATAAGGTCATGATACAGGGGTATTGAACGTCAACTTTGGTCCTGACTTTTAATTCTTGATCATGATACAGGGAGTGTAGTTGGTACACATATATACAAAAATGGATGTGAGGTATGTTCATCGAAAAGCAATTTTCTGTAGTTCTTTGCAACTTTGAATTTTTTCTTCTTCCTCTATAACTGATTCCTGCTTTCATGTATGCTAAAAATCGTATTTGAAAATAATTTGGTAAAAGGAAATGGATCCAAAATTCAGGGCTAATAAATCTTTAGTTAATCAAGTGTCCCTTAGCTGAATCCCAACTCATGTTGAGCTGTGAGGGGACACTGAGATCAGTAGCATATGTAGGAGAAAATTAAAAAGAAGACGATGTTAATAGGAGGAGGAAGGAAGGAAAAAAATGAGAGGAAAGAAAATAAGGTCCAAAAAATTCATTGTGCCTCCAAGCAAAGCCAAGAAATCTTAACTAATCAGTCTGCCCTGTGCTGAACCCTGAATGATTTTCCACTTGAAAAGGAATATTAAGATAAAGTGACAAACAGCCTACAAAGTGAAACACCAAGAAAAACCTTGCATAACTGTAAGTTCACGAGTGTATCACCATACCTCTTTTATTTCATTCCACATGTCTTTTGCTGTTATACCCTGGGAGTTTCCAGATATTATGAAGCAAGGGCATTTGGAGACATGAACAACATCTGTTTCTTCTGCTGCAATAGCGAAAGTTACCGGGGCTAGTCCGTTGGCAGTCCTGTATAGACATAGATAGGGTGTTACGTATAAATAGAAAAATAAATATGATAAACAATTCAACCCTCTGGGAAAAAAAAGTCGGGAAATTTTTCACTTGTGTAAAGAAGAGGAGCTCACATGTGATGCAAGAGTACACCATGAACGCCATCTTTCATCCTGGTAAAGGATTGACATAGTAGATTAGACTACGTCACTGGAGTTAAATAACCAATACGAATCTTTCAAATATAACATTATCACTATCGATAAACCTTGACTCACAAATCCTTGATCCTAATCTGAAACGGATGATCAAATTAAAATATGTATTGGAGGGATCAACCCCATGTCTGTTCTTACCTGATGTTTGAATTGGAATGATGACCAGATAATCCAGAAACCCCACCAACAGAATTCTAAACACACATTAAAAAAATAATAAGGATGAAGCATGACTAGGAATCACAGTTAACAGGGTTGCATATTGAACCGAAAAATCATGTAAGGAATTGAGAAGTTGTTAGGCTAAAGAAATGGTAAGAAAGAAAACTTACTTCCCATGTGAAAAGCAAGGTGACACCTGCAGCAGTCTTTCCTGAATTAGAAAGCTGAACAGAATCAAAGGTAAACTCTTACGATCATTGTCATAAATATTACTAAAAAACAAATTTCTAAGGAGCCCTTTCCTACCGTAAAAGTAAACACCGCTACAGGCAAGCTGCTCTCCTCATAATTATGGGGAATGAAGGGGGAAATCTGACGGCAAACTATTCTAAGTGCTGGATCAGGTTCACCTGAATTTAAAGTGAAAAAGGCAACGCACCTATAAGATAAATTACCCATGACCAAGAAATGCAAGGATTAAAATTTCGTCTTGAAATGGTCGAAATAGCCGAAACATTTTCATTTCCGGAGATATCAAAACGAATCAGTGATGGAATCGAAATTCTAATACTTCCAGGTGTTTCGTAATATTTCAATGCATTTATATAATTGTTTTGGAATATTTTAAAGTGTTTCAAGATGCTTTGGTATATTTCGATCAATGATTTGGAAAAATAATTCTCAAATTTTTTATTCATTTTCATTTTGTTTTGCAAAACTGGTCGAAACGTTTTCATTTTTAGGTAATCGAAACAATGCACCAAAACGAAATTTTGATCCTTATTGATATTTACTGAAAAACAGGAAATATACCAGTTGATCATAAGATTACCCTCATATTCAGTCCAAGCCCTCGGAAATAACGCATGGTAAGTAGAATTCTGCCCACTCAGATTCCAGTCCCAAGATGCTATCCCAAAAGCTGAACTATCTCTGTTTATTCACATTATTTCAGTGAGTTTTACAAGAATAAATTGTTAGATGCAAATGAATTAATGCTAATGATCATAACCTTCGTTTCCTTTTTATGTTTCTATTTTTCCCTTACACTCATTCATTTCTCATCTAAAAAAGCCCAGGCACATTCACTTGTGTAACCTTCATGAAGAAATAAATATAAAGTCAACTAAAAGATGACACCATAGTTGCTTACTTCAACACTTCTGGGCTTGCTGGGCACAGTACAGTAGAATACTTCTCACCATTTGGGCGTGAAATAAAAGCCTGCATAAGGACCTCATAACCCAATTAAGCAATTACAATGGTTTGGCAAGCAAGAAACTACAGATTGCAACCTAACATTAATGATACTAACTTTTTGCAATAAATTAAAACCTATTCATTCCGCTAATAAATAACTGGGATAGCAATCTCAAGTTTTAAGATCTGATGTGGCCCAAGGTCTTGCTCTACAGATCTTTCAGCTTCATGATTTGAGGCTGTTTGTATCATCTCTCAAGTTAGTCATATGCTCAGCACATAAAGTAGAGTACAAATTGTGGCTCTTACAGTCAAAACTTGGATTACCATGCTCATGAGGTGGTACCTTAACCTCCATAATCAAGTCTACCAACCCTAATTGGTGAAGGCTTTCCTCATCATATAAAGGAGGCCAATAGCAACTTTTTTTACCTTCTACTTAATTGATAAGTAAAGGAAACAACCTTTATTTTTGTGCTAGTTTTCAACCTATGCAATGATATTTTTCCTGCATAATACAAGAAACTCAGAAGTCCCAGGGCAAAATATCGAAAAAGCAAGAATTTTTCCACAAAAAGGAAAAGTGCAGTACTAAAATGAAATTATCTTCTTAACGTGTAATTGTTTATTATAACAGATGCATCAAACTTACAGAAAACTGATTTGCTAAAACTGGTTTATCTTCACATGTTCTAGGGAATAGTTGCCACCGCAAAAATTCACCTTTGTAACTTCTTCCAATGCTTCCTGCTCTGGAAATGGGGTTCTCTCAACAACCAGGAAAGAAAAATTAAATGAGGTGTGTGCAATGTGCATATAGATCAATGATGTTCCGAATAAAAAAAAAGTGTCAAAGAAGACAACTCCTTGGAATGTAGTACATGATTTGATAGTTCCACGTAAGAATTCCTGGGAACCTCCCATTGATGCCAGATTAAATATCTTGATGATATCTTTGTTCGGGTGTGCGTGTGAAGGTTGCATGAGAATAACAAAACCAGGAATGCAGTAATCTTAAACCAACTATATAAAAAATGAATATGGTGCATACAGAAGTGTTGACACACTTATTTTGGATAAAAAAGAAAAAGATTATCCTGTCTTAGAAATATGAGGAAATAGTTTGCAGGGACATCTAAGGTTTAATACCACAAATATTTGTTATTATGATGATTCCTTGATAATAATAATAATTTTGCATAAGTATTATTGTCAGTAATGAAGACTGAAGCCTTACCCAATACCACCTAGAGGAACACCTTGACAAGATATGAGATGGCGCTTCGTAAAAGGATCTATAAATACACCCTGCAAGAATGATTCTGAGGAATGTATAGCATTCTCTTACCATGACCAGAACACACATCCAAGGATCAAAATTCGTTTCGGTGCATAGTTTCGCTAAGCTCGGAAAAGGAAACGTTTCGGTAATATTTCGGAAATAAGATGGAAATAAAGAAAATTTGAAAATTTTATTTCCGAAACATTAGTTGAAACATACTCAAACATTCCGAAACATAGGTCGAAATATGCCGAAGCATCTAAAAACCAACCGAAACACCTCGAAACATCTTGAAATATAGGAATTTTGATATTCAATCAATGATTTGTTTCGGTTTCTATGGAAACCGAAACATTTCGAATGTTTTGACAGTTTTGAAACGAAATTTAGCTCCTTATATGCATCTAAACAAGTTCTACAATTTGTAGAGAAAAAAATTACCTTTCCTTCATCCCGTTCTAATAGGATTTGACGAAATAGCCGAAAACCTACTGGAGCCTACATTAAACCAAACAGAGATGCTAAAGACAGCAAATGATGGATAAAGCCAATACCAGAGAATATAAGGATGACATGGGGAACCTACATGACCAATCTATGAAGCACGGATACATCTTCAAATCTGGAGTATTTGTATTTCATACTTATCAGATACGGATACTGCATGTATCGAGTATGTTACAATATTTTCCAATTTCGGAAACGTTTAGGATATGTCAAGGATACATGACCAATATCTTTAGGATACATGGGGATACGCCTGGGGCTAAACCATGATTTTTTATGCAAGATAAAATATAATTTTGATCACCAAATGACTTAGCTATTTAATATGGTACTTGCTGAACAAGGCCCTCCAATAGCATGCCATTACACTAAATTCAAAATATGATCCATCCAGAAAGTAAAAACAAGAGACCAACCTGAATATCATATAACAGTTTTGTTATATATTTGATTTTTAAGATGAGTCATCAATTAAAGATCCTAAGTGATGGAGTTTATATTATTTTGCAGTCAATTAGGATTTAAGGTTATGTTTAATATATCTTACGTAATCTATTGCAATAAGCAATTGTTTCCCTTGCACGAATACTGGTTATTTTTAACTGCATATCTATAAATCATCAATATTAAACTTTATCCTATAGTACAATATATACAACATATAGAAATATATTTTTTGATGTATCTTTCAGTATCAGTATCCTACTTTTTATTTGTAATTTTTCATATTAGGCTATCCAATTATCCATATCGTGTTGTATACTTATCCCGTGTTTGTATCCATGCTTTGTGACCAATTAAAGCCGCAGAGCTCATGCATTCACCATGTCAATCTGTTGTATCTCTAAAATTATCACGCCTTCGGACATAGATACAAGTAGATAAGCTGTTTTGTGTATATTTTCTCAGTTGGACACAGGTTATGCCACACTTGAATACATTTTGCGTTGTAAATTGTAGACTAGTACTCTTTTGAACAACTGCACCAGAATCTACATATAGCACATTTGTTCAAGTATGTAAAATTATTTGAAATCCATCATTCAATTTCTTGATAGAAATTGCAGAAGACTAAAACCCCAAGGTCAATGAGTAATATTGAATTCAGAAAGAGCTCTACACTTCACCATTGTACTTTAGGCTTAGTTTGAAGTACCCCTCACTTTTAATTGCAAAAATTTGCCCCCCCTGAACTATCATAAGCACCTGTATATTTGACATATTGGATATACCCCTAGTCTTTCCCGTTGTTTTGTTCCCTGATCTAAACTATTTAATTAGTACCATTAAACCATGAGTAATGCTAGATGGACTTAAAAATTAGACTTTAAAACTAGACTTGATAATCTAAACCATTGAAGAGGTAGTGAGTCCCAATAAATGTTGGGACCTACAACAAAATCAATGGTTGTAATTATCAAATCTAGTTTTTAAGTCTACTTTTTAAGTTCATGTAACATTGCTCTTAAACCATTTAGTTACTTACAACTTTCTCTGTTAGTCTCTCTCCCTTTCTACCTATATAACACACCATCATCACTCCTTTCTCTTTCATACTATACCTTATTTGTTCTCGTATTATTTCCCCTAAAAAAGGAAAACAAAACCATTAAATTCATACTAGTGAATGAACAAAAAATAAATAAATATTACTTATTTCCACCACCAATTCTGCTTTGTATCGCTACAGTAAATACCACCACGGTGACCACTGCCACCACTATTACCACCAGCACCGCCGTGTCCATCATTCTTCTTTCTCATCATCAAAATATATATGTTATATATATAACCATGTAGATCCTCGTTAGTTGCAGTAGAATCCCATTGATAGGGGAAAGAGTTGGAAATTCAGCAATTGAGGGTAAACTCAACATTTAATAACCATCACATGAACAACTTTCCTTGATTTTGACGGCTAGATGTTAAGGGGAGGGGCAGATAGGAACCCGCTAGATCTTCAACAAGGTGGAAATTCTCGAATTCTGTATGTACATGTTCCTGCCGCTCGGATGAGTATTCTTTAAATCATTGGTTTGCGAAGCGTAGGGAGACATCAACTGAAGCTCCCATACTTTGAGCAATTTTGCAAACTCTTGCCAGCGTATTGAACTATTGATCTACAAGCCTAGACCATAGAATTTTTCAATATATTCATCAGTACTTCAAGCTCACTCTAAAAACTTCTCTATTTGCAATAAATTACCCTTCCCGAGGGCCTTAACAACTTAACTCTATGCCCTACACTCACTACAATCATTTGGTTCAAAGACTAACTTGCAGCTAACAAATTTTTTGTATGTGAGAGAAAGCAAGAAGTTTCATAGAAGTTTACATACATACCAAAGTTATTTTCTCTTTCAAACTCAGGGTGAACTCTGAAAGCACTATTTCCTCACTATTTATTTTTCGCTGCCAAGTCAGAGACGCAGGTTTCCCAGGATCAACCGTAATCTGGAAAGCACATAGAAAAGAAAAAGAATAGGAAAATTAGACCAGCACATAAAGGGCTTAGACAAATAACTAAGGGACATAGAGAGCCATCAAACGCTGCTTGGGGCTGTCTGTAATGCATCCAAGAAATATGTTTCATTACTTGTCAAACTGCTATTTACATTAGCCAGAAGAGATTTTGAACACTCATATAAAATTGTCAAACTACGATTCACATTAGCCATAACACTTATCATTGATGCCACACCAATGGGCCTTTGGTCCAATGGTACTCCTTACCTTATAAAGATTTTACCAACGGGCCTTTGGTTCAATGATACTCCTTATCTTGTGAAGGCTTTACCTTCTTGACGTCAAGGGTTCAAGCCCTCTTCCCCCTCCCCTTTCCCCTCCCCCTCCCCCTCCCAAAAAAAAATGTAAAAAACTTATCATTGATGCCAGAAACCATAATTCAATGCCAGAAGAGATTTTCAACACTCATATGCACATTCATTGTATACAATCAGTACATTAAGGGTGAAGATGTCATGACAGCAAGGCACAAGTTTTTCCAGAAGATTTGGAATGACAGGCACAAAACCTAATCAAACAGTTTTAATTTTTGTGGAGAGTAAAACCAGATCAAATATTTAACCAACCCAATATAGACATTTTATTTGGTTTAAGTACAAAGAAAACACCGATATTTCCAAAGAATATAATGCACAACCATAAATATTTAAGCAAGAGTGGAGGCATCACCGCAATCCCTCAAACAAAAATGCATAAAAATAAAAATAGAAGATATCCAAGTGCATACCTTGTTATTAGAAGAATCAGAAGGTTCCATTTCTCCATTGTCAAACCCATTCGCTAACATGCTTACTGAACAGAAGGAAACATAAGAAGATCAGCCAGATCATACACAGACAAATTAAAACACAGTTGTCTTGCTTTTGTGCATCTTTGGTTGACGAGAGGATAGAGGTGAAGAACCAAAGTTAAAGCACAACTTCACTGATCACAAGCATAAGTACATTGCATAATTCCTAGCAGAATTTCTATTCCTCCATCTTCCGGGAAACTAAAGAATACATTGATACTTGACCAAAACCAACAATCAAAATAGCCGCAACAGCGGAATTAGCTGTAAACTAAAAATGGAAATGAAAAAAGAAAAAGGCCAAAATGTTTGCTCAACTAGCACACAATGCCTTCTCTTTTTAGTTACTGCAATTTGGAGTCAGACTTTTTAGCAGTTGTTTCACTGAATTGTAATGAGACATCAAGAAAATATTAAAAATATTAAACCTTAAAGCAATGACTAAAAGCATGAAAACAAAGCTTCAGCCTCAAAGAATCCATAATCAGTAAATAAATATGCACACACACAAACACATATATCAATAGATGCACGCATAATTTATTCCTTCCATAGAAAGACCTTTCAATATTTTCGCACACAGAACAGTTCCTTACCAAATTCGTCAACGAAAATATGGAAGTTTATAAGTTCACACCTAAAAAGCACGGACACGGATACGACACGATACAAAAACGCTGACACAAATTTTTTTTAAAAAGTAGGACACAGACACATTGGGCAATACGTTAAATAAAATATATTATATATATAAATAAATAAATATATATTATTTATATACAATCATGTGATAAAAATAAATATTATCATAATAATCTTTTAATTCATCATTTCCCTAATTCTAAAAATTCACATCATGATATCACTGCATGAAAAGTACAATATAAAATATATTGATACGCAGTCAACATTAGTATCTATAATCTAACAATCAATGACTGCTACAACTTTATTTTCAAAAATATTTCACTTTGTAACACTAATTTTAATTAATTTTCAAGAGCCCTAATTTTATAACTCCATTTTTTCTCCCATTACATTCATATTAAAAGTTTATTCCATTTGTATATAAGTTTGTAGTCGTATCCAAAATTATGTTATATTCATGTTCGATATTCAATGTAATGATTATAACTTCTTTTATATTATGATTGTGACTCATTTTCCCTTAAAATTACAAAAATAACTCTTAATTATAATTTTTTTTGAAAATTTCTCAAAAATTAAAAATAAATCTCAAAAAGTGTTCCCAGAGTGTCGGTTGCGTGTCCCAACGTGTCCTAAGCGTGTCGGTTGTGTGTCCAAAACCTGTCCTGAAAACAATTTAATAATAAAAAAATCAGACACTCATTTTTAACGTGTCCAACACATGTCCCCGTCCCAGTTAAACCCAAATTCGTGGTATGTTTGATAGGGTGAATGAAAATATAGAACGAAGGAGAATAGGAATGATACCCTTTTTATCATCCAAGGACGAAAACTTTCCTTCCCTCTTTTGTGTTGGATAGAAGAGATGGAAAGTAGGAGAGATTGGTTTATTTTTTGTATTTGGAATTGATAAAAAAAGTATACATGCATATTTAATTATTGTGGTCATGGAAAATGCTATATATGCTTACCAAATCGTTCATCAAATATTGTATTCCAAATCAATGTGGGTGGTTGGATCAGTAGGGTCCATTAACTTCACCAAACATTCAATACATAGGATTTTAACACATCATTTAGAATACAACATGTGGTAAACAAATTTGGAAAGCATAATTTTATCCAGAACATATGTATATATATTAAGAAATATAAAGGTAAATAATCTACATTTCAACCCATAATTAACTTTCATGCCAAAATTTGGAGGGATCAATTTTAACGAGTAGAAAGAAAAACTAATCCTTCCACTTTTTCTTATTAACCAAACATAGTGTTCTATCCATCTCTCCTATTTTCCAACTTCTCACTTTTTCATTCTTCTACTTTTTTTATCATACCAAACGAACCATTAAGCAAAACGAAAAAGATAAAAGAAATTCAATTCCAGTGTCAGACCCAACTTCTTTATAACCCAATTGCAGGAAAATGAACTTGCAGATTCACTTATTACCCATGTATATACACAGATATATATTACAAGTATGCACTGGCATCAAATAAACGAAAAAAAAGATCATCCAGATTATATTTTTCGATAAGTCAACGTACAAAATGTAATAAAAGCATGAAATTGAAATGCAAAACGAAACATATGAGAATGATCAGAAAGAGATGGAAGAAATGTAAGAACTATAACCTGAGAGAAATTGTTAGCGCAGAGAATTGGTTCCGAGAATAGTGGAGAGTGGAGAGAGAGAGAGAGAGACGTTGGTTATCAAAGAGCTTGCACAGTTGATGTTCTTTGGATGTTTATGTAATTGAATCTGTGTGAAAAGATCGCAGTTCTGCATTATTTATTTATATTGCGGCACGTCCCTGAACTTCTGTTTATTTAAAGAAGAACCCTGATCTCTTTGTAAATAGGAAATGACCCAATTATCTTTAGAAATACTGTTGCAATATTCAGCATTGGCCTGGCAGCATTCAACTCTACTTAACTCAATTCACAAAGCTTATGTTAATCTATTGAGGGCTGGAATCCTTTTGCCCGGATCAAAAAAATTTAATAGATTGTTTGTGCGGTTATAATTATAAGGTAATAGGGTTACATAAATTCACTGAGAATGAATTTTGGACCTTGAGTGGAAACGAATACATTATTATATGATAGCTAGGAATCCATGTGAATTGATCTTTGTCAAATATGCTTTATATTAGTGAATTAATGTATTGTATTGCTTGGTTCATAATCTCAGTATTCAGGTTTATAGCAGTTATGGTATAACCAATGGATTTNTGAATACATTAATATATGATAGCTAGGAATCCATGTGAATTGATCTTTGTCAAATATGCTTTATATTAGTGAATTGATGTATTGTATTGTTTGGTTCATAATCTCAGTATTCAGGTTTATAGCAGTTATGGTATAACCAATGGATTTTTAGTTCGATAATACTCTTTAGTCCAAGAAATCTCAACTTTTTAAATCTGTACTCCATATCTTATCAAAAATTAGATAGTCACTCATTCACGTTTATCTTTTCAATTTTCACCTCAGTCGCCCATGCGTATCCCTCCTTCCGTTTTCCTATGATGATATGCAATGAATATGAGAGTGAAGACCATAGTAGAGTATGATGGATCTGCTCATTGACGACAAAATNCTCTGTACTCCATATCTTATCAAAAATTAGATAGTCACTCATTCACGTTTATCTTTTCAATTTTCACCTCTGTCGCCCATGCGTATCCCTCCTTCCGTTTTCCTATGATGATATGCAATAAATATGAGAGTGAAGACCATAGTAGAGTATGATGGATCTGCTCATTGACGACAAAATGAGAGTAATATGGATATATTCGTTGACAACAAAATAAAGGAGTCGTGGATGATGTGTGTGTATTTGATGCAGAATTTGGTGGTGATGGAGTTGTCAATTGACATCATCTGGACTAGGTCCCTACTTTTTATCTATCGAAAGGTACTTTTAGTAACAGTCTAATTTTACCTTCCCATTAATTTAGTAGATTACTAATTCGTATACCTTATTCTTAATGTGGATACCACTTTTTGAATGGTAGATTAGCATCTAACAATCTATTTGATATTGTCATTTTGGAGTTAATGTTACTAAAATTATTAAGGATTCCTAATGTCCAATTAATAATACCGACAAGTTTCTTGTTATGACTATGTTCTTACATCAAATTTATGTGGGCCCATGAAACCATCTTGTCGGAACTGCGTGGGTATTATTGTTTATTACTGATTTTTTTTTTCTAAACGAGCTTGCGAGGAGCGCAATTATTTTGTCTTATGCATGCTTGATAGAGCTCAACATATCAACTGTTTGTTGATAGGACGTGTATAATTCGTGAGATTCCATTTTTTTAGATTAAAAGTTTCTGTAACTTGTCAATTCCACATTAAAGGTATTAACTAACCAAAATTCATTCAAATCACGAGAGCATACTAAAATAAGAATTAAATAATAAAAATCATCTATCAATTAAATAAATAATTAAACTAATATTTTAATCCAACGTAATTGAAACCTTCAAGTTACATTCAAACTCAACGTAATCATTCTCCAATCATTAACTAAAATAAAATATCCAAGACTTGATTAAACCATTACGTTTAAAACACAAAACTAAATAAAGTATTTCTAATCCACATCCTGAGTCTATTCTGCATCTCAATCTCCTTGGTCACAGAGTCTGAGGTCCTCCTCAGTACAAAAATTTGAAAATAGGTTTATAACGTATGATAAATAATAAGACCAATATGAAAACCTTCTCAAACCCAATAATAAAATATGTAAGTTTCAGATGATAATATAACATAAAAATTGAAGTAAAACTATGACAATTGATATAAGATCTCGAGCTTATGGTACAGAACAATAAAAATTCAAGTCAAAAGTAAAATTAGTTCCCAAGCCATACATCATCACAATCAATATATCTCATATATGCAAGTTGACTATCATGAATCCACACAAAGAGTATCTTGGGTCCCACACACACAATTGTCAATTCAATTCGTAAAGATAAATCGCTTTTAAGAAACACGTATATTGACGTATCTACATTGACGTAACTTCTTATAAATAGTATATTAATCCACCGCCTCTATCACCGTGATCGAATAATGAATTTTTGAAAATTGCAATTCTCAAGTAATGTCACTACGAGTGTTATGAAACCTTCAAACATCTCAATGTAAGAAATTCATCTAACTTTTTTACGATACCTGGTCGACTGCAACCCACGTTCATCACACCCACCCATATAAGAGATAATTTCTACAAAATTAAGAATCATAATTTCACAAATTTTTAAAGAGAATATTCAAGAAACATATTTTCCTTGATCAAAATCAAAAACCAAGGTTTTTGAAATAGAACGAATAAATCATATATTTTCAAGAATACATTTCACGTAATTGAAAAAAAATTCAATAGCTATTAGATTAACATATATATAAAGATTAGGATAAANATTCAATAGCTATTAATCTAACATATATATAAAGATTAGGATAAAAAAATATATAAATAATAACCTTAGCCTCAATGTATGAATTTGAGAAAGAATATCTACCTTAATTCTCATAGAACTTGATCCTAACTCATTTGGTTGTGGTTTCCCGACATAAATCCTACGAAGTATCTCACTTTTCTGTTCTCCCAACTCTCTTTAGCCTTCTAGGATTGCAATCTATTGAAAATTGACCTAAAAATGTCCTCAGAGTATTTATAGGATCAAAAATTGTTCAGTCGGCACAACCTGATCGTTGCTAAATGCTCACTCGCATTCGAATATTAAAGGCGTTCAAAAGTGACTCGTTCAAACTTAACTTGCATTTGAACATGCTTTTCTCCTAATATTTCCTGTTTTGTCAGTTATATCTATCAGAATCCAAAGTACAGTAACTAAGCTACGTTCGAATGTGACTCAAATTCCTGTTTAATCTTCCAATGCTTTTTGACCTAGTTATAAGTCAATTTACGAAATATTCATAAGTAATACTTTTGTAACACTTGAGGTTTAGTTTCTACAAATCTAAAAATCAAATCAATATAATATCAGGATATGATTAAAATACTTGGTTAGTGTCTCATTCCTTTCTAACGAAATCCTTTCCAAGATGCATCTAATATTCAGAACACTTACTACACTCTAAAGCACCCATATTCTTAAGTCATATCTATACANGAAATCCTTTCCAAGATGCATCTAATATTCAGAACACTTACTACACTCTAAAGCACCCATATTCTTAAGTCATATCTATACATGCAACAATGATAATTTAATATATATTTTGCAATAATTACATGGTACCTCTCTTATACAAACAACTTCACCAATTATCTTTTATTTTGATGGGGTACCCATTGAAATTGAGGTTGTTGAGGAGAGGTGCAGGATAGAGGGCTGGCATGTATTTTATTTTTTATTATTATTATTATTATTATTATTTTTTTTGGGGGGGAGGGGGGTGGGGGGTGTTTGGATAGAGTGTTTAAGGGAGTGTTATGGGATAGGTGCATTCAGAAAGTGTGGGAATGAAGGGTTGAGTGTTAGCTGAACTTGGTAGACCTCTGGTGGTTAATTATCATAATTAAGTTGTTTAGATGAGAGATAAGAGATATTTTTGACATACGAACTATTTGAATATAATGTACAAGTACATAAATATTTTATAAGTTCATGTATCGTATGTGGTATCGTTAATATAAACTAGAGAGGGTGTAGAGTTCAAATAATACAACAGGTCTCATTAGAATTATAATAATCAAGTGATGTGTAGCTAAATATTTCCCCCTTCTCTGGGAGTTTATTGCCGTCTCTAGCGTTCAACTTTTTGTTGTTGCGTCGGCTACCTATTCCTGACCAACTACGTTACATTATAGTAAATTATATTTTCGTACCCCAAATTTTACACTATATTTCATTCCTATTTAAAAGTTTAAATAGAATACAACAATCAAGCCCTCATAGTTTAACCGATATTTCAATGCCCCTCCCTGTATTTCCACCGGATCTTAAACCCTAAACCCGTCATTATATGTATGGACATGTGCTTCGCTTATAATATAGGGTGCTCCCGTTCAGGTATTTTTTTAACTATGGTTATTTCAACACCACTCGGTAAAACCATAAAAAACAAAACTCAAAATTAGCAAGTTATAACTAATTGCTTTTTATACAAATAAATTTGAGGAGTTGTCGTCGTCTACGATATTCCAAAAACAAAAAAAATAGTACCGTGACGTCATTTACATTTTTTGTGCATGTTTTTACCATTTTTANGCTTCGCTTATAATATAGGGTGCTCCCGTTCCGGTATTTTTTTAACTAACTATGGTTATTTCAACACCACTCGGTAAAACCATAAAAAACAAAACTCAAAATTAGCAAGTTATAACTAATTGTTTTTTATACAAATTTGAGGAGTTGTCGTCGTCTACGATATTCCAAAAACAAAAAAATAGTACCGTGACGTCATTTACATTTTTTGTGCATGTTTTTACCATTTTTATGATAACTTGTGATCAATCTTAAAAATTATAAAAAAAATCCACAAAAATTATAAATCATTTTTTTTTTAGAAAAATAAACAACGGTAGAGGATTTATGTAGCGAACTCTGAAGATGACGAGACAACTTTTTTGGCTTGAGTTAAAATTCAAATGATGGCCAGTGAATCCTCTAAACTCCTCAAGTAGATGTATCGACACAAATATGTCTAAAACACAACACAAGCCGACCTAACTAAGCATGATTTGTACATTATACACAAACTCCACATGACAGGAAACCAACTAGTTATATATGATTACAAATTAATCAAATAAGAACTGAGCAAATTTTAACACAACATGATTCACACGGTTTTTGAGACCACCCACTGAAAGTCCTAAAAACCTTATTCCAATTCATATATGCANAAAATTTTAACACAACATCATGATTCACACGGTTTTTGAGACCACCCATTGAAAGTCCTAAAAACCTTATTCCAATTCATATATGCAATAAACACCTCCAAGAAAGNCAAATTTTAACACAACATGATTCACACGGTTTTTGAGACCACCCACTGAAAGTCCTAAAAACCTTATTCCAATTCATATATGCAATAAACACCTCCAAGAAAGGAAGGTTCCTGTGCATATATTTTTCACCCAGGAAAGCACTGTAATTGGAAAATTATATTAGTCTATCACGAGATCTATATTAGAGTTGAGAAAAATCATCATAGTGCAATCTAGTCCAACAAAAATTCCCCACTACGGGTCTGGCTTTCCCAGAGAAATAGCATATTGAAGACCTCAACGGTCTTATTTATTGAAATTATAGTCTACTTTTTTCAGAAAAAAGAATTCCAAAATGCCAACAGTGACCTAAACTCTTCCAAGTTCCAACCGTTGCAAGATATAATATGATGATGGCCGTGTAAGGCAAGAATTTTCAAGATGATGTTGCTTGCTTCAGATAAGCTATGAGATCAGCCCGGTCCTGTGGCTTCTTCAAACCAGGGAAAACCATCTTGGTTCCAGGAATGTACTGCACAAACACAAGTTCATAATCAAATCACCAAGTATGAGATATTGAACGTATATGTATCAAAGGAAAATAACCAAAAAAAAAATCATGGTTCAATACAAAAAAATTACGTTTATTATCTCTCCACGGATTGAAAACCAATGAAAAAAGGGAATAATCCCAGAGAGAGAGATTTTCTTAAAAACATACAGAAAATTAAGACCCCCAGAAAGCAACACGCAATCAGGGCTACACCTCAGAAAATCAACATGCCATTTTAGACACCNAGAAAATTAAGACCCCCAGAAAGCAACACGCAATCAGGGCTACACCTCAGAAAATCAACATGCCATTTTAGACACCGCAAGTGCACACCTTATGCAACTTATCCTCAAGGAACGAACAAAAAATCAATCAAATAACAGAAAGACCTCTTTGACATCGTGAAAACCGTAAGAGGGGGGGGGGGGAAAGAGCGAGAGAGAGTCAAGCGTTCTTCAGGATAACAGTAAACTTTTTTTTGGGTCAAAAAGACAACAGTAAACTGAAAGAACTATAGTCATTGTCATACAACCACCTTAAAAGGAAACAGTTAAGATCACTGAGAGCAGCAAATTCATTGCACTTGTGCTTCAAATATGGTAGAGTACCAAAAATCCCATGCAAAAAACAGAGCCACACATCTGGTAGGTGGAATATTTTATGGCAATCAGAAAACCATTCAAGTTTTGAAGATTACATCACATACAGCATATTTTCAATTTACTATAAAGAAGCTAATCTTGATTCTTGACTGTAAAACATGTTAGAAAAGCCCGGGGAATACTGTACTGACAACAAACCAGAGAGCCTCATCAATTGAAGAGGAGTGCACAAACTGTGGAGCATAATCACAGCAAATTAAGAAGCTATGTACCACAGTCGTACCACGTTAAGTCAAAATACCATTATCTTACATTTGACCATATTTTCAGTATGATCTGAGAGCCAGTAATGTAAGCTATCCGTTACTTAGATGCAGCGCACAAAATGCTTGCCTATTCTTTACCCAAAACACAGTCCCTACGTTACCCTGTATGAGAAAACATGGCCAAATGCCTGTCTAAAATCCAAATCAGGCCAAAATTCATATGAAAATCTTAGTACCTGTACATCAATTTTCAATGTATGCCCTAATAGCAAAAAAAAATGCACATGCTTTGGCGCCTGGCCAACTTAAACATGCTTTCACCTACCCAAACTCGCCTCNAAATCTTAGTACCTGTACATCAATTTTCAATGTATGCCCTAATAGCAAAAAAAAAATGCATACATGCTTTGGCGCCTGGCCAACTTAAACATGCTTTCACCTACCCAAACTCGCCTCTTTTCCTAGGCAATACTATAAAATTCACTAAGCTGTCCTATTCCTACAATCCCTTTGAATCAAACATGTACATTCTGCGGAATGAATATGAAACGAAGTTAGAGTCTAATTTAACACAAATAGCATTGTNGCTTTGAATCAAACATGTACATTCTGCGGAATGAATATGAAACGAAGTTAGAGTCTAATTTAACACAAATAGCATTGTCCTAATCCCTCAAAAAAAGGGTACCCCAATGTGAGAACCACATAATATCTACTACTATTAAAGAGCAATACCCACTGCAAAACAGTTTTCTTTCATATAATCTAAATTTACTAGAGTAGACCAGACACCTGTATGAAAATAGTACATAGAAATAATATCATTTTGTATAAATAAAGTATGTATAATTCATAGGACGTAGAATGGGTAGCGAAAATCAAACCCCCATTGTCAGCTTGGGAGGCTTGGGGTTCTATTCGACGTTAATTCATCATTTTTAACGTCTCCAATTAAAAACCGAACATGAAACTTTGGTTTCATTCAGCTCTTTTGTAAAAGATGGATNAATCAAACCCCCATTGTCAGCTTGGGAGGCTTGGGGTTCTATTCGACGTTAATTCATCATTTTTAACGTCTCCAATTAAAAACCGAACATGAAACTTTGGTTTCATTCAGCTCTTTTGTAAAAGATGGATAAATTCGTAGATCTAAGATATGAACAAGATTAGTGAAAATAATGCAACCCATATGTTATCTTTTTGTCTGAATATATTCAAAATGACTTGCTTTCTAGATGATCCCTCTAGAAATCAGAAGCATGATCATAACGCCAAGCCCAAAAATAACATGGAATTACAACCTCATCACTACTATAGCCATACACAAAAAGTTTTATTCGAATTTCAGAAACCATATCTTAAAAAGGTTACTAACTCAGCAGGGATTCACAATAGTTCAGGCAACAAGTTCAGGCAATCACTCAATCACTCGACAGGGAGGTAATCACTTGACAGGGAAAGACAACCAAGCTCATACCTTCTTAGGGTTAAGCAAGTAATCATACAGAGTATTCTCTCCCCATATCACAGCCATATTCTTGTTAGCCGCAGAGTAAGAATATCCAGGGGCAGTGCCAGACTGCCTTCCAAACAGACCATTCAAATTGGGTCCTGAAATTCAATTTTGCATCACAAAAAAAGCCTTAAAACCTGACAGTAACAAATGGGGAAATGGTAAAATAGAAAAAGTACCAGCAGCCAAGATCCTACGGTAGAAAACAAATGATTAATACTACATAAACATGCAAAATGTAAAGTCTGAGCCAAAGACCAAAACAAGTAAAGTTGTTTTATCACTTCAATGGTCATCCTAATAAGAGTCAAATAGACACTCGGATCAACCTCAAATATGTTATTTGAGTGGCCATCATACTAATAAAAGGATAAGACCGTATACGATCAACCTCAATTAGCAATTTTTTCACCTATAACCAAAAAAGAACATTCCAATTGATAATGATCCTTACTTTGTATCAAACCTCAAAAAACCTACAACACTCGAGCGCCAAAAAATTTTACCCAAGTAACAAAACCTTGCCCAAAGGCTATAATTGGAGATACCATAGTTTCTGGTACAGAAGTTCCAATAAAAATGGGAAATGCCCTACCTTTGAGTGCGGTTTGAACTATTGATTTACGTAATTGAAAATAACCAATTAGGTTTACGAGAAAACCAAGAAATCAATCACTGATCCAATTTGAGATAGAAGTTAAAAACATTAATACAAGCCACNAAAATAACCAATTAGGTTTACGATAAAACCTAGAAATCAATCACTGATCCAATTTGAGATAGAAGTTAAAAACATTAATACAAGCCACCAATGACAATAAGCATATAGATATCAACATTGAGCACCTATTAAAAACCAAGTCAGACAAAGNACCAATGACAATAAGCATATAGATATCAACATTGAGCACCTATTAAAAACCAAGTCAGACAAAGCTTGAAAACAAGCCTAAGCAATTTTGGAAATTCAAATGATTATACTAATAGCACGATTAGCTGTTGTCTCAAAAGATTAATCAAAATCACCGTTATCAAAAAACAAAAAAATCTATTATCTCGTGCCAAACTATACTTACATAAACAAATATTCGCACTAGATAAAATTTCAACAAGTGAAATACAATTTGCAATGTTACCCTAGCAATCTCAAGTTGCAATTATATAAATGAAATGGACCGTTAAAATTATCATTAAAATACTTCATAGCAACCTGGCCAATAAAGACAACTACTTCTCAAGATAAGACAGGCATGGATCCATACACTTTCCTCTGCAAAAATTACTTATACTACGAAATGCGTGAAGAAATATAAATTTTTATGATCGCCTGTAGAATAAATTGCAAAAGGAACCAATGATATTGTAGATTCACATCTAAATCAAGAAGATTAAATAAAACATCAAATATGAAGACAAGATCAGCGAAGAAATCAATCAGATTGAGGAAAGAGAATGAGAGGATTAGAGTTAGGGTTTGTTTGGGAGGATCGAACCTTGTTTGTGGCCAGCGCCTTTCTCGCCGGTGTGGCACTGAGCGCACTTGGTCTTGAAGATCTTCTCTCCGGCTTTGGGATCGCCTGGTGGTGCCTGATCGAAGCTGGCCATTTCCAAATCACACAAACGACCTTCAGGTTCGAAAAATTCAGAGTTTGAAACGAGACGAATGACCTTCTAGGGTTTTCTATTTGTTGTCAGATGTGGCTGCCAGGTATAAAAAGAACGTGCGTTTATTGCGGTAGCACAAGCCACGACAAGAGAAAGCGAAATGACAAATATGACCCTATTTTTTTTTTAAATTTTTGATTAAAATTATAAACTATATTTTTTTTTATACTATGTCATCAATGTCCCGTAACATCATTTAATAGATGGTTAATCGCAAATTGCAAGACGAAAAATTTCTCAAATCTCAATTTTGTACATTCAAAGATATAAATTTGTATCAATACGCACCTGAAACTAACAACGTTCTAAATCTAGTTGGGTAAGTTACATCTAGACTCACACTCTAGTTTGTCACTTAATCATTTAAACTCCCTCATATTTAAAACTAGTTATTATCTGTGCTTAANTTGGGTAAGTTACATCTAGACTCACACTCTAGTTTGTCACTTAATCATTTAAACTCCCTCATATTTAAAACTAGTTATTATCTGTGCTTAAAAGCACAGAATAATAAAAAATAGTAAACAATAAATATATTTGTATTCATATCTAAAATCAAATCACAAATATAGAAAAGAGATAAAAGAATTTAAGTATTGATTTGTAGTTGGGGTAAGAGGTGGTAGTAGTAGGAGACGGTGATTGTTGTAGTGGTTGGCAATGATCGTGATAGTGGTGGTGGCAACGATAGTGGTGATGGTAACGACAGCGGTGGTAGTGGTGATGGCGATGGCGGTGGCGGTGGCGGTGGAAGTGGTGGTGATGGTGGCAGCGACGGCGAAGATGGTTGTGGTGGTAGCGGCGACAACGATGGTGGCGGTGGTGGGAGTAGTGGTGGTAAAGGTAGTGATGGGGGGTGGTGGTGGTAGAGGTAGTGATAGAGCAGTTTCAAACACTTTTTTTTTTTAAAGTATTTATGAAAAATAATTTCTAAATGTACTTTTAAAAAGTCACTCCAAACACACCCTTAGGGGTCCTATTTTTCCTATTAAATTTAGGGTGTTAATATTAGCCGTTATATTAACTTTAAAATAAAATTTAAAGCGATCTCAACCACGAATAGCAAAAATTATTTTATTTATCTTTTAAAATTTGAATTATAAGCTACTTTATTATATATATATTATTCATATACCTCTTGACGCTTGTGTATGTATAATATATAATCCCTTGTTGTTGATATTTGTTAATATAACCGTTAAAAAAAATAATTTTATCCTAATAAAAGTTTATAACTTTCATACTATCCTTTATTTTATGAATCCGTTATACTCTAAAGTTCAAAATCAAATTTATCATTTAAATGTCTAATATAATGTAGGTATTTATATAATGTTCTTTATATCTAATGCAACACATTACTTTAATATAATTATTTGGATGTCCAATTGGAGAATATTTTTAGTTATATTTGAATTATCAGGGATAGAGGTGTAATATTTCAAATGTGAGGAGACTAGGTGATTAAGTGACAAGTATGATTGTATGACGGAGTTTAAATATAATTTATCTATTTAGTTTTATTTGGCAAACTGACACTTGCAATATAGATTTTATATCTTTGAGAATATAAATTAAAAAAATTTATTTTTAAGAGTATAAATTAATATTCGAATGATTTTTTAGGAAGCAATTAGCAATTAAACCATTAAAAAAAATTTAAACCCCATTTCTTACATGGGATAGTTACTAAAATTTGTGAGGTCCGCTTTTTTCATTATCCTCTTATTTTTATTGAATGATAACACCACTTAACTATGATCACGTGATATTACTGTTACTATAAATATTCTCTCTCACTTGTGGTACCATACAACATGTGTAAGTATTAAGTTACAAATTTTTGAGTGTTTAAATTATAATCTAAACTCGTACAATTGACCCAAAAAAAAGTTACACTTTATACAAATTAATGTTATAACTTAAAACATTAAGAGTGATCGTAAAATATATAAATTTTAAAAATCAAGTTATAATTGATTGACATTATTCATGATCACTTGCAATAATTGTAATTTATTTTCCTAAGACTATAGTATTTTTTAATACAATACCAAAAAATAAAAGGGGTATCATAATTGTTCCCACTCCTCTAACTTGAGTGCATACGCTTACAATTTGGGTGATGATTGATTATTAACCAAATGAGTAAATCAAATAAGAAAATGATACAAAGTTATCGGTGTGAATTAATCATAAAGAATTCGAATTATAATTAAATTGACAAGTTAAGCTCAATTAATAAATTGTAGAGCTACTATGGATTTCAATTTATCCGATTAATAACTAAGCATACCTCGTATAACATCTACACCGTAATAATAAAACTATTATATATTGTTTTCTGTTTTTTTTTTGGTAAGTAAAAACTATTATATGTGTGTTACCACCCCCGTTTTACTCAAATTGGATCAAACCATGGAGGTTAACTTATCTTCCGACCATCTAGAACCAAAGACCAATTCTACAATCCTAGAGCTAACAACCCAAGAGAAAAAGCATGGCAATGTACATATGACAAGTCGAGAAGAAAATTGAGTTTTAATATGGGTTCAATTTTGCCCATTCACAAGAATTCAGCATGAAATTGAAAATAACATAACTAATTAGCATGACAGGGGATGAGGGGAATAAGAAGGCCATTGTTTCTGAGAAACCAGCAGCTTCTCAAATGCAAAGATGGATGTTGGGACGAGTGGAGGACAACCCCAGGTATCTAGGGCATCTAGCATCCGCAATGGATTTGATGGGGAACACGTAATTGCTGGATGGCCATCTTGGCCGACTGCAGTAGCAGGGCAAGCAATCACAGGGTGGGTACCTCGAAAGGCAGATTCATTTGAGAAGTTGGACAAGGTCTACTAAGATGCAAATCTTTTCCACTCTGTCCCTGTAATTCTTTTCGGCATATTGAAAATTTTATGTTATACAAGTTGTTGGTACACCTTTTTAATGCAATCCCATATGCCTAAATTGCACTTCATTTCCCATACTCGTGCCTAAATTCTTGCTTTGAGTTTCAACTTTCTTGTACATGTGTGCACCTGAAAGTTGAAACACAGTCTAGTTCATCTGTGGACCTTATAACATTTAAAGTGACCAATGTTTTCCCTTATTTGTCTGCTTATAAAGTATTCCTTGCTAGATAAATGAAAATTTGATATATTAAAAATAGGAAAAATTTTGTACGATAAAATTATCCTGGTTGTGAAATATACATATGCAGGTAGAAATCCATTAAATTTTAGTGTTTCTTGGTGCAAGCCAACCGTGGATTTTTTATTCGGATTTTTAGTTGTGGTTAGGGGTTTCATTCTAGATTCACTTATAAGACTTTGGCTTAAGAAGGACATGACCATCGCATCACTTTGGTCCATCACCACCACTATGGACAAGGTTGCCCGTTGATATTTGCACTGGCAATCTAGCTAACTAATGCGTAGTTATGATTGGTCAGAGTATGCACCAAAATTTTGTCGCTGTGATATTCTCAGCAATGTGCAGCTCATTAATGATTTAATGAGTCTTTTCATGAATAAATATCTCCTGGTTTTGACAAATGACCAGGAAAGATAAGAATGGGGTTCAGACCCTAGAAAATGTTATCCTAATTTCTTCTCAAGAGTTTAAACTATGTGTGGTTCCATCGTATAGAACATCAAAATCAGAAACCACGGGATCTTTTTAGTTCCCAGTCATGTTATCTTGAGAATGCATGCATCTTAGACCCTTTTGGGCTGCTGGGTTCGCTGAATGGGATTAGGTTTATTTCAAATCTAGTGTTTGGTTCACTAGAAAAGAAGGTATGATTAACTTTGATTTGTCTAAAAGACTCTCCTCTCTATGTGTTTGTATGTGTATATATGCATATATAGATATAACCCACTTATCATTATGGTGGCGATGACAATGATAACAATTTTGGCAGCAATGGTTTGGTTGTAGTGCACTCGGGGTAGATATGGTGACATGGGTTGCTGTGGCAATGTGGCTACACTGCCTGGGGTCATGGTGACATTGACAATGACGATTGTGGTGGTGTCACCGTCGACATAGGTGATGGTGGTGTTGGTGGCAACAATGATGGTCATGACGTGGTAAAAGAATAAATTTGTCATGAGGGCATTGTTGTATTTTTGAAGCCTTTTCCCTTTCCTCCACTTGGAATCCCACCCCCTATAGATTCAATTATACCAGAAATGTTTTGCTAAGTTGATTTAGTGGCGGGTCTGGTTTTACTTTTCGGAATAATACCAATATGTTTTTTGCATCCAAACACAGAATAGGTGGGGCCGGGATTATTTTTAGTCCAATCACTTTGAATAATCAATGAACCAAACGACCCCTTTGTGAGCTGAATATTGCACAAATGATGGGTGGGATGCTGGTATCACCATAAATCAATTTCATTTCGATGTCATTGTGATTTGCTTTTAATTACTCTCCATCTAGTTCCTCTTGCTAATAGCAATTAATTGAATGCATAACTAGAATAAAAGACTTAAATGGTCTTATAATTAAGCTTTAGATGAGCATACAACAATCCGCTCATCTGGTTCCCTCAAGGTCATTCTAATTGGATGAATAAGCCCGATTTCAAGCTTGTGTTTGAGCTTGAGTGATATAGAATCCAACCTCAAGTGAAACCATGCTTAGCTTGCTTAGGCTTGTGAACACAAAGAGGAAAGTTTGTAGTATTTTTGTTTTCTCCGAGGATTTGTAAGCTTGCACTTTAAATTTTGTGGTAGCCCAGGCACCTGTGGTGTGCATGATTGCAGTTTGATCCCATTAATCTCACACCCATAGTTCTGATGTATACATATTTTTCTAATCATGGCCATGTATTTATGAATTATGTTGAACAAGTTGAGTAATTTCACTAACAAATTTACGTGATCATACATGTGTTCCTGATCCCACGCGTCAAGAGTATGTTTTATTTTCACATTCATTCACAACTCAATGATCACTTATCTTGAACCTCTCTTCATGCTCTGAACTTTGAATTCTTTGCCAAAAAATCATCCTGAACTTGGCTGCTTTCAATCAGCTACAAATCAAGATAGGACACTTGACTCAAGATTTAGCCATTTTCGAGCAAAACCTATCCAAAAGTAAGTTGAGCATGAGTGGTTGGTACTCAGCTCATGGGCACCCTTTGTAGGTTTATCTATATCTATTTTGTACATGGATATACTATTCCGAGTTTCCTTTTGTGTTATTTTGAAATGAAGGGTATAAATAATGGTGTCAACATTGAAGGGTATAAATAGTTCCATAACCATCTGAGTATGACAGTGTTTTGGTTGTTTACCTCTGTTTGTAGTTTGAACGAAGTACTGACTGGATAGCACTCATATTCTATCAAAATTGATATATAGTTAACTGAAGTGAAAATGGAAGCTTACTAATTTACTTTTTTGTTAATTTACTCTGAGTTTATGATGATTACATGTGCACTACCTGTTATAATTATACACACTTCATATGTATGATAAGCACTACTATCCTTCTGTTCGATGTCTTTGGTTTTCCTTGAAAGGCTACCTAATTTCGCTTCGGGTCTTCTTACATGGGGTTTCATGTAATGGGCCTGCAGATCAAATGCTACATGCATCAGCTATTAAGTGGTCTTGGACACTGCCATAGTTGTGGGGTTCTGCATGGTGACATCAAGGGCTCAAACCTTCTGATTGACAACAACAGAAATCTCAAGATTGCTGATTTTGGTCTGGCAACCTTTTGCCACACCAATCAAAAGCAGCCTTTAACAAGTCATGTAGTTTCATTATGGTATCGACCACCCAAGCTTTTGCTTGGAGCTACTGATTACGGAGTATCTGTTGATTTGTGGAGTTCCATTCTCGCAGAATTATTTGCAGGGAAGCCTGGAAGAACAGAGGTATTCTTCTTGCTGAAGAGGTTTTGTTTCATGTACGTGTGAGTTTTTTTGTTAATATATTAAATTAGTATGCATGCGAGTGTTCAACATAGAGAAAGAGAGACGTCACAGTTCTATATTAATTGGTAAAACAGGAAGACGAAAAAACTAATGCTGTAAGAATGGGGTGGCTGTGTTTTTCATGTCCAAAGGAACTAAGAAATAGGTTTATGATGGTTTCTTTCGTAAGTGAGGCACAAGGAATAGGGAGCAAGATCTACAAAAACTTGTTCAAGTATAGAGGAATGGGAGTTTGTCATTTTAGATGCAGTAAATATGTGAATTGTATGCGTTACCTCTTGTGCAACTAACACAAAATAGAGTATTTGTCATTTACAAGAATATCCTCGCCATTAATATTCATTGTGGAAGGATTCAAACCTTTGCATGGCTGTATCAGAAACCAATGCCTTAACAATTTGCAATATTGCATACAACCTATTTTGGACGGTAGAACGGGGAGATGGGGAAAGGAGAAGCAGGGCTATTCAAATGAGTTGAGTCGTGCAAGGACGGGGTGATATATAAAGTACGCACCCTTTAGGACCGACTTCAACAATCTCGCTGCTCCAATAAAAACTTTAAAATGCTCTCGGTCCTACAAACTCAACTTTAGATTCAGAGTACTTCACCTTTTAGAATTGAAGACCGACTAATCTAGTTTATTTTGAAGGCAACAATAACAAAGCTGTAACAAATTCGGAGTCCCGGGTCTATACTCAATGTTGCTTTATTCAGATTTAATTGAGGATAGGGTGAGGCCAAATTCTTTTGGATGGTTAGGATGGACACTGAAAAGTGAATCCAATTGGTGCATCTGTAAGAAGCATTTAATTGATTATGTGAAGATGCCACAATGAAAGGTGAAACACAAAAAATATGTAGGTGGTGGGAAATATATGGTAAAATGGATTTTCTAGGAGTTACATTCTTTACTGGGAGACGTCTTTTCAGCTCTTTAGGACAAAGCGTCTTCCATGTGACCCATCAAGCTTGCCCAATTACCCACCAAGCAAGCAGTTTGATGCTAAGCTTCGAGATGAGGAAGCGAGAAGGTAAACATTTCTTGCTTCCCCATTATTTCAAATTTGCACTCCTGCGTAATTTTTAATCAAAATGTGGTTTCAGCATTTCCATTGAAAGTAGATAGTACCATTAGTCGATACATTTCTCGCATAGGTATCTTGCATGTACCATGTAGAATACTGTCTATAATAGCATGGACATAGACTCCCACTTGAACCACTCAGACTCATTTTTTCTATTGTGAAAAATCCTTCTAGAATGATATTTGACGTCCCTTCATGACTCTAAAGATTGGTGCCTGTCTGTAGCCGGGTTCCAGCAAATTACTACTATGGCTAGTGATGATCCGAGCCTAATTAAGAAAAAGGGGACTGAATTGAAGAGTTTATGGATGGGTTGCCTGCTAGTAAAATGCATTTAGTTGACTTCAAAATTTTGAATAAACACTGTGCTCCATGTAGTGCAAGGAAAAAATGGACTAATTTAAGGAGTTCATTGGATTGCTTGCTTGTAAAATGCATTTAGTTGACCAAAAAAGTTTGAATAAACACTGTGCTGCATGTAGTGCATGGGATTGTTTTGACATTTCCTGCATGCATGTAGTTCATTTGAAGTTCAGAAAAATTGTCATTTTCAAAAAGAAGATTTCTCAAGCTGACTCCCTGGAATTCGTCGTGTGTTTTTGTTTCTTATCTCACTAAATATTTTTTTTCCCTCGATGATAGTCAAAAAGCGGCTGGCGGGCAAAGACTGGCTGGCAGTAAGGGACGGGTACTTGACTACTGTACAAAAGGTTCCAAAGAATCCAAAGCAGTACAGCACCTGATGCTAATGCTGAGTTGCAGGTTTCCATACAGGTATTTTATATCCTGTAATGGCTTATTCAAAATACATATGGATGCATGCCCACATTTTGACTTCTATCTACTGAGGTATAAAATCACCTATGTGGAGGGCGATATGGAAACAGTAACTTTGCTATTGTGGATTTCAGTAGTGGCAAGGGCAGTCAAATCCTAAAAGCAACAGTGAAAAATACAATCCCGAAGAAGGTGGTGGTTCTGGCGTCCTCATTGAACCTTCCAGAGGATCATTACAAAGTGGCCGGTTCCATGGCCAATTGATGCAACCTGGCGCATTTGGAACTTCCCTTAATGTGAATAAAGCTGGGGGCCAACAGGTTCTAAACAAGTATTTGATTATTCAAGAAATGCTGCAGAGTTGAGGCCTCACCATCCGTATAAACCCCAGGGAGCAGCAGCCCAATTGTCCAGGTTTTTGAATTCAGTGGCAGCTCATGGCAGTTCGTGGTTTGATCTCAGCATAGAACCAAGTGGCCAATCACACTGGCCAGAGGAGCAAATGAATGGCAGATACAACCAGCTAAGTGATGCTGAATCCTCCCATCACTTGCTGGGCAGCCCAAATTCTTTTTATAAGGATGAAAGGGCACCTGGAAAGGAGTGGACAGTGGTGAAGAATTTCACACTCTTCCTTAGAGCAGTTAAACGTGAAACCAGATTGCCTATCAAAAAAAAACTAATGCAAAAAATGCTAAATGAATTCTTTCTACAGCTTTAGATTTGCGTAGATTTTGTCCATTGGGTTCATCTCTCCCTGCTAACTCCCAAGTTTAACTGATACTTGTGGTTAACGGGTGGTCACAGGTATTTGGAATATACTCTACAGGATGGATCCAATGTGGCTTTACTTTAATTGACCAGAAACCTAATTGAAACTAGACAATGTGGCTTTATCGTCTATTGCATCTTTTTTAGGAGTATTGTCTTTATCCGTCTTGCAGAAAATCCTTGACCATCTATTGACTGGCTTGCAAAGAATGGAATTGCCCAACATGTAGTTTAGCTGCTTCAGCTTGTGCGGTTTACTAGCGGGAGATTAGATGCTGTTAGAAACTAGATAAACTCATGATAAAGCATTTGCAGCATTCCATGGTTCTAATTTTAATGGAAATGATATATGAACATAGAAGTCAACTTTTTATTTTTTCAAACTTCATTCATTACATTACTTTTATTGTGACTGGCTGACTGCAGGGTTATGGTCCAAAGAAGAATTGGATCCACTACTCTGGACCATTGCTTCCTCCTGGTGGAAACATCGATGAAATGCTTAAAGAGCATGATAAACGAATACAACATGCTGTTCGCAAAACTCATCTTGATAAGACCAATACCAAAAAGGCCTACGGTGACAATGGACAAAGAGAATCACTACTGTACTATGGGGGAAATGGCAAGTGATATTGGAGAGGAAAACTTGCTGATTTCAGTTGGATTTCCTAGCACTGGCAGTAAGGCACGACTTACATGGATATTCTTCATTGGGGCTTAGGTAAAATTTGACCACCATGGGAACCATTTTGATTCAATCGAGCTTCTGTATGCTGATATCCAGCCGTATTCTCCTAGATATGCTATGAACTTCCACCCTTCAGAAAGTCTGAGGTGGTGAGAAAATATGATGGTGCAGAGGCAAATAAGATCCATGGCCATTCAATAGAGAATTCTAGGTGGTTGTCTGAGATTTATGCAATGGGCAACTCTTTGGTGGTTGGATTGGGAGGGAATCTTTTTGGTTGGATATGATTCTTGAACAGTTCTACTCTCCCAATTTTATCTCCTTCAATGTGAAGGCTAAGAGATTCTCACGAACTTGTGGGAATATCACACCTCAAGGCCAGCATCTGACAATACTGCTGCAAAGACAGCTTCTTATCGATGCTCCACTACAGCAACTTCGATTACTGCTTGCTTTGTAAGTAAACCTCTTTGTGATAGCATGAACAGTTTAGAATTGGGGACACAAATTAATTTCATGTAATTAGGTCCTATGTGTTCCCCATTGTTTGATGCTCGTATTAACAGATAAGAAGTCACAAAAGTCAGCTTATCTGATTCAGAGGGTTCCAAATGCTATTTTTTCCAATGTCTCATTGATGGTCAATTTTGTTGCAATCTGACCTGAGTAATCAACAACCATTTATTCTCCATTTGTAATTGTTGACTTAGTCATTTTTTTTTTATATGAAAACTGAGATTGTATCCAGTTCCTGTTGTGTGAAAAACTCTCTGCATGCGTTGAGCTTTCTTTGCAATGGTTGTCCATCTCTGTGTGTGTGTGTGTGCGCATGTGCACGTGTGTGTTTTGGTGTACGTATATGTGCATGCATCCGCGTTGATTCACAATTAAGTTTCTAATTTTATCATCTTTATAGTCTAGAAGCTGGACAACCAGTGTGACTATGAATTGACAACTAATTCTTGCATAATGTCAAAACTAGGCATCGACATATTTTGTTTTCTTCATCTATGTTTAACAATGATATGGTCTCTTTCAACTTTCATTCTATGAATCTATTATGATTTAATAATTATTAATCAATTAAACAAATACTCCTTTCAACGATGGCTTAGTATTACTTTTATTGCTTGTAATGAAGAAAATATCAAATAACACTAGTCTAAATCATATTGACGATGTTTATTCTATGACCAAGATTAGAAAAATGCACACACACGTCATTAGACCAAGAACTCAACCCCCGGGGTTTTTTTTTTTTTTTTTGGGGGGGGGGATTCACTCCCTCCTCTTCTATAAGTGGTGATGGTGGTGGTTGTATTTGAGTTGTTGGGGGGCGGCTGATGTAATTTGTGTAGCAGGAGTAGGTGTTTATTCATTATCTTTTAAATGTAAAATCATTTGGGTCCAATAAATTTTAAGGGTAAAATCAAAATCATAGCAGTTCTTACTTACACAAAGAAAAGAAAAAGGTAACACTGGTGTGTTTTTTTTAATGAATCTTGCATGATGCCAGTCACTTTTGGGGCTCTTAATAGCTGTTTGTGCTGGTAAAAAGGTGTGGCTAAAACAAGCACATAAATTACAAGGGTACCTAGTAAAGTTTCAGATAGTGCAATGAGTGTTATCAAAGTGGTGCCAATCTAAAAAAAAGCGTCATTGAAGATATGACAATCTATAAGCGGCGTAATAAAAATATTGTGCAACCATTTTTTATTTTCTTTGCCCATATTTGTTTATCCACTCTATCCTGTACCTAAACATATGAGAATATTGGTACATCCAAATCAAACTTAACCAACATGAGACTTCAAATCACTATCCCAACCCCCAGAAGTCTACCAGACTTGTAGATCTACCAACCCTCCAGTTTGCTTCATTCAAAATCGTTGCAGTTCTATTGTCTTCATCAATATATAATATACATCCCTTCATCTCCAAGCATCACACATCTATCCCACCCTTCAAAAACTCTCCCCTTCAACTCACACCCCTTCTCTCTCCATCATGAATCAGAATAAAACCCTCATTCACACCAGGCCAGAAGCTTCACAACTAGCATTTTCCTTTCTCTCTCTCTGTGGCAACAATTCAATCAGAAACATGAGGTCCAAAGCCAAATACCCTATGAACCTTAAGCTTCTTGTCATTGCAATCTTCATTGCTTTCCTCCTCCTATTTGTGTTGAGATCAAGCTTATTCTCATCTTCCGAATCAAATACGCCTGCCATATCACCACCCCTTGTACTAAAACCCCCCAAAACTTTGAGAAATCAAAAAACAAGTGATTGCTCACCAACTTGCACTAAAATCCCATCCACGCTAGCCCAAGCTCTCATCCACTACACAACCTCCACTATCACCCCACAGCAAACCCACAAAGAGATATCAGTAACCTCCAAGGTTTTGGACAAGAAGTCCCCATGCAACTTCCTGGTATTTGGCCTCGGCCATGACAGTCTCATGTGGAGTGCACTCAACTATGGCGGACGCACAATTTTCCTCGAGGAGGACAGGTCCTGGATTGATCAAATCAAGGGGAAGTTTCCCATGTTAGAGGCATATCATGTCACCTATGATAGTAAGGTGAACCAAGCAGATGGGCTCATGGAGGTAGGCAAAGCGCCTGAGTGCTCATCGGTTGGGGACATAAGGTACTCCATTTGCCAACTAGCCGTAAAGGGGTTACCTAGTGAAGCTTATGAGATAAAATGGGATTTGATTATGGTTGATGCTCCAACCGGTTATCACGAGGAGGCGCCGGGGAGGATGACCGCCATTTACACGGCTGGCATGATGGCCAGGAATAGAGAGGAGGGAGAGACTGATGTGTTTGTGCATGATGTGAATAGGGAAGTGGAAGATAAGTTCTCCATGGCATTTTTGTGTGAGGGGTACATGAAGAAACAAGAGGGAAGGCTAAGGCACTTTAGAATCCCAAGCCACAGGGATGACTTGAACAAGCCCTTTTGCCCTTAGGAAATGCTAATTGTGTACCTCCTCCAAAGACTTTAATGTTTGCATTTTATTTGTTCTAAGAGTAAAAGTCTCGCATTGTTCCACGGTGTTTTTGAATGACACCAATTTGTGAACACGGTCAAATGTTCTGTCAATTCATTTTAATTTTCGAACAAAGTGACAGTATGATATCTTTACGACAACAACCCAACGTGTTCTAATTGATGGGACACAGTGCTAGTATTTTCAAAAATTCATAATGTAACGTGGGACTTTGTTTAAAAATTTTATTTTTTTTCAAGGATCTAAGAACCATTAACACTATTGTCTCGTCTTTCTTGTTATTGTTCATTTGGGGGGAATTATTGTATGTTTTAATTGATTGGTTCAACGATCAGCGGTGTTCGGACCTTACGTGCATCTCGACTAATTCTTTTTACGGTCCGGTCAAAGGCACGCCATCCATGTCGGGACTAGAATATTCATGTGGAATAAATCTCTTATGGCCTGACCTAAGAGATTGTCAAGATTCGAACTCAAAACGTTTGAGTTTACAGCTCATTCATATTACCATTTGATCCATCCTGTAATTTATTGTTTTAATTTTTTCTTTTGGGTTAATTGCACTAGAGGTCCTCCAAAGTATGTGGTTTATCTCATTTTAGTTCTTAATATTTTAATTGTATCATTTTAGTTCTTAAAGTATTAAATATATTTTTATATGGTCCTTAAAGCAGACAATATTCAGATTGTTAACAATTTTTAATTATAAACTTGCTACATAATTTATATAATAAAATAAAATAATTTTAAATTTTAGAGATAAAGAGCGGCTCAAATTGTTTCGTAACTAAAAAAAACTTCATCTAATGAATGACGTTATTCCAAACTATATCTAGCTATTAACGTTTCAATTCGTTTTAATCTCACGCATCAAATTAAATCTTCAATTTTTTTAACCGCCCAAAGCTAACTTTTTCAAATTAATATCCATAAATTAATTATTTTCCTTACATTACACAAATCCCAATTGGTAAGTATCCCATGGACCGGCACTGTCTCACTCCCTCTCTTACACTTTTTCTCTCTCCTGTCCCAATCTTTGCCTAAATTCTTGTACCGCNTATTTCACTTTGCATCCGCTGTTGTTTTTCTTGATGTGTTCATGATTAAAACTCTCTCATGAGTGTGTACATGCGCAGGTTTCAATTTACCAACATTGTTTCTAATTGCAGAAGCATAAAACAGATTCTATAATTTCATGAAAAATGCTTATGAAAAATGATTGGAAAATGCATTGTTTGTTTCATAAAATCAACTTTATCGAGAATCATGGCTAACTTTTGGCATTGCAGGAAGTCATGTGGTGGAACTCTTTTGTTTTCCAAGAATATGTTTAACATTATTGTTATGATTTCGGTATATTAGAATAGGGTGGAACTCTTAAATGGATTCACAAATACTAGAAATAGATGACAAGTGTTTGTTTACAAAGGGTATTGCGCAATTGAATTGTACTTTTTGTAAATAACCTTGGCCTTGAGAAATGGCGTAAAGATGCTTTATGGGTTGGAGGAGTTGCCCAAGCCTTCCAGATAGAGCAAATGTGTTGAATAAATGGAGGCATTTGTGGAAGCAAAAGGGGAAAGCTCTAATGAGGTCGGCTAAGTTGAAATAACAAATGTCAAGGATGTTATGAGCACCACCATATTCGACAATTATTCATTTGCATGATTGATGTATGTTGAATGTGTGCATCATTAGCTGCAGGGTTGCTGATATGGATGCTGAAATGGCTAGTAGAGGTGGCTTCACATGTAAAACTGAGGCTGCAAGCTCAGGTTTGAATGTCAAGTGTCTTTAGATCAGGTTTTAAGGGCTGCAACTGATATTCAGTGCATTATATGCTCTTTGACCAAGTTTTTAGGAGATTTGTTTTGATTTTCTGTTATCTACTAGCTGTTAATGTTAGTAGCTAAAGTTTAGGAAGTTTGTTGCTTTTATTTCTGGTTGCAAAATCATGTATTTAAGCAGATCAGTCTTTAATAAAAATATAACTTTCTCCCATTCTCTTTTGTTCTTTATATGCTCTCTTTCTCTTGTTCTTAGTTTAAGTTTAACTAAGCTACAATTACAACAAATTGGTATCAGAGTAGTCTTCTTAAAGGGACCTGTGAGTGAACCGAGTGAACCTCACCAAAAAAAGGCCTAAACACCTTGCTTCCATCCATTAAATAAATGGATTCTCAAACACCATTCACAGCACTAGCACCACCAGTGTTTAATGGTGACAATTATCATGTCTGGGCAGTCAGAATGGAGGCACACCTAGAGGCAAATGATCTCTGGGAAGCTGTTGAGGAAGATTACGAAGTTCTTCCATTACCAAACGATCCAACAATGGTACAACTCAGAAATCATAAGGAAAGGAATGCAAGAAAGTCAAAGGCCAATACTTCTTTGTTTGTCGCTGTCTCACCAACAATTTTCACCAGAATTATGACCATGAAATCAGCATTTGAAATTTGGAATTTCCTTAAGAATGAATATGAAAGAGATGAGAGGATCAAGAGAATGCAAGTGCTGAATCTAGTCAGAGAATTTGAGATGTAGAAAATGAAGGAGTCAGAGACAATCAAAGAATATGTTGATAAGCTTCTCAGCATTGTCAACAAGGTAAGATTACTTGGTTCTGAATTTTTTGATTCAAGAATAGTTCAAAAAATATTAGTAACTATCCCTGAAAGATTTGAAACTATTATTTCTTCCTTGGAGAATGCTAAAGATCTGTCAAGAATCAACTTGGCAGAACTTCTAAATTCTTTACAGGCCCAAGAACAAAGAAGAATAATAAGGGCTGAAGGTTCTGTGGAGGAAGCATTTCAAGCTAAATTGCAAATCAACCAAGGAGAAAAAGGCAAGAAAAAGAAAAACAAAAAGAAGAATTCTAGCACACCAGGAGCAGCTGCTAACACCAACAACAGTAGTGGAGGAAACAACAAAGAATTTCCTCCTTGCAGACACTGTGGCAAAAAGGGTCATCCACCTTTCAAGTGTTGGAGAAGACCTGATGTTAAGTGTGATAAGTGCAACAAGTTGGGGCATCATGAGAGAATCTGCAAAAACAATTTTCAACAGAGGAATGAGGCTCAAGTTATAGACCAGGAAGAGGAAGAACAGTTGTATGTAGCAACTTGTTTTGCAAGCAACAGCTCAAGTGAATGTTGGCTAGTGGATAGTGTTTGTACCAATCACATGACCTATGATCAAGAGCTTTTTAGGGAGCTAGACAGATTAGAGGTATCAAAGTCAAAATTGGCAATGGTGAGCACATTACTGTCAAAGGAAAGGGAACTGTAGCAATTGAAAGTTGCACAGGTACTAAACTAATTCTGATGTTTTGTTTGTACCTGATATTGACCAACACTTGCTAAGTATGGGACAATTACTTGAGAAGGGATTTAAAGTCATCTTTGAAGATAAGCAATGTCTAATCAAGGATGCCAATGATAAGGAAGTTTTCAGAATCAAAATGAGAGGCAAAAGCTTCTCACTAGATCCAATGAAGGAGGAACATGCAACTTATCCTATTGCTATGAGTAACACAGAGACCTGGCACAAAAGACTAGATCATTTTCATCATGTAGCAGTCTTGTTTATGCAAAGGAAGCAACTGGTTCAGAGATTGCCTCGTTTGGAAGCTGATGTGCCAAATTGCAAGGCTTGTCAATTTGGCAAGCAAGCAAGATTACCCTTCTCACAGTCAACTTGGAGACCAATTGAGAAGCTGCAACTAATCCATACTGATCTGGCTGGACCTCAGAGAACTCCTTCACTTAAAGGGAGTAAATATTACATAGTTTTCATTGATGACTTCACCAAAATGTGTTGGATTTATTTTCTTAGATTTAAGTCAGAAGTTGCAGGAGTTTAGTGGATTGAGAACCAAGTGGCTGCAAGATTCAAGTTCTAAGGTCTGACAATGGCAAAGAAAATACTTCAGAACAATTTAACTTATTTTGTAATGAAGCAAGCATTGAGCATCAACTCACTGCTCCATACACTCCACAACAGAATGGAGTGAGTGAAAGGAAGAACAGAACAATTGTGAAAATGGTCCGGTTCATGCTCTATGAAAAAGGATTGCCTAAAGAGTATGGGGCAGAGGTTGCAAACACTGCAATATTTCTGCTAAATAGGCTTCCCACCAAAGCAATGAATGGGAAGACTCCTTTTGAGGCCTGGTATGGTTACAAGCCTTCTTTGCAAAATTTTAAAGTGTTTGGATGCTTGTGTTTTACTCATGTGTCACAGATTAAAGAGACAAGCTTGATAAAAAAGCTAAGCCTAACATCTTTGTGGGGTATAGCTCAATATCTAAGGCTTACAGAGTTTTCCAACCTCACACAAGGAAAATTCTGATAAGTAGGGATGCACACTTCATGGAGAATGAGCAATGGAGTTGGAATGCTGCAGAAAGAAGCTGATTGTTGATCCTATACAAAATCAGGATGAGTTAGTTGATGACCCTCCTGTAAGAGGCACTGGATTGCTCTCTAATGTTTATCAGAGATGCAACGTTGCAATTCTTGAACCTGCAGGGTATTGGGAAGCTGAAAAGGATCCCAAATGGAGGGCTACAATGCAGGAGGAGCTCTCCTTGATTGAAAAAAATCACACTTGGAAACTTGTTGAAAGGCCTGAACACAGAAGAACACAGAAGGGTGATAGGAGTCAAGTGGGTGTTTAGAACAAAGCTAAACGCAGATGACTCAATTAACAAGCACAAAGCGAGGTTAGTGGTAAAAGGGTATGCTCAAGTNGATTGAAGTCAAGTGGGTGTTTAGAACAAAGCTAAACGCAGATGACTCAATTAACAAGCACAAAGCGAGGTTAGTGGTAAAAGGGTATGCTCAAGTTTTTGGTGTGGATTTTTTTGATACCTTTGCCCCTGTTGCAAGGCTAGATACAATCAGGTTGTTGTTAGCCATTGCAGCACAAAAAAGATGAAAAATCTATCAACTTGATGTGAAATCAGCATTTCTAAATGGATTTCTAGAGGAAGAAATATATGTTGAGCAACCTGAAGGTTTTGCTGTGAAAGGGCGTGAGAACAAGGTTTATCTATTGAAGAAGGCTTTATATGGTTTAAAACAGGCCCCAAGGGCTTGGTACAGTAGAATTGATGAACATTTGTTGGACTTAGGCTTTGTTAAAAGCCTTAGTGAATCAACTTTATATGTCAAAGGTGATCAAGCTAACTTAATTGTGATCTCCTTATATGTTGACGATCTTCTAGTTACAAGTAACAATGTTGAACTTATTCAAAAGTTCAAAGAAGACATGATGCAAGTCTCTGAGATGACTAACCTGAGATAAATGTCTTACTTTCTTGGAATGGAGATTGAACAAGAAGAGGATAAAATTTTCATCTGTCAAAGGAAGTATGCAAAGGAGATACTAAAGAAATTTAACATGGAGAACTGTAAAAGCATGAATACTCCAATGTGTCAAAAGGAGAAGCTGGGCAAGGATGATGGAGCTGAACAAGCAGATGAAACTCTCTACAGAAGTTTAATTGGCTGCTTAATGTATCTCACAGCAACAAGACCAGATATCTTGCATGTTGTAAGTGTACTATCAAGGTTTATGAATTGTGCAAGTGAAAGTCATTTTAAAGCAGTAAAAAGGGTTCTAAGGTATGTCAAGGGGACCTTAAGTTATGGTATCAAGTTCAGTACATGTCAGAGTTTTAAGCTGCAGGGTTATTCTGACAGTGATTGGGCAGGATCTTTAGATGACATGAAAAGTACATCAGGCTATTGTTTCAGCTTTGTATCAGGTGTGTTCCGAAAAAACAAGAAATTGTTGCACAATCAACAGCTGAAGTAGAGTTTATAGTAGCCACAGTTGCTGTTAATTAGGTCTTACAGCTAAGAAAAGGTCTAATTGATTGACACTTGGAGCAAGGGAAGAGTAGAAAGGTGATGGTGGACAACCAAACAACCATAGTCATCTCCAACAATCCAATTTTTCATGAAAAAATAAAGCATTTCAGTATAAAGTTGTTCTTTCTCAGAGATGTACAAAAAGATGGTGCAATGTGTTTGAAGTATTGCCAGACTGAAAACCAGCTAGCAGATATCTTCACTAAAGCTCTTCCTAAAAACAGGTTTTAGTTTCTAAGAGAGAAACTTGGAATCTCTAGTCACTGATGCAAGAAGGAGTGTTGAATATGTGCATCATTAGTTGCAAGGTTGCTGATATGGATGCTGACATGGCTAGCAGAGGTGGCTGCTGACATGGCTAGCAGAGGTGGCTGCACATGTAAAACTGAGGCTGCAAGCTCAGGTTTGAATATCAGGTGTCTTTAAGATCAGGTTTTAATGGTTGCAACTGATATTTAATGCATTATATGCTCTTTGACCAAGTTTTTAGGAGATTTGTTTTGATTTTTTGTTATCTACTAGCTGTTAATGTTAGTTGCTAAAGTTTAAGAAGTTTGTTGCTTTTATTTCTGGTTGCAAACTCATTTATTTAAGCAGATCAGTCTTTAATAAAAATATAAGCTTCTCCCATTCTCTTTTGTTCTTTATATGACCTCTTTTCTCTTGTCCTTAGTTTAAGTTTAACTAAGCTACAATTACAACAATGTATCTCTTTGGTCATTTTTTAAGCCTTTTTAATTTTAATTTTTTTTACATGACGGTTTTTGGTGGTTTCCACATCATCGGTTATGTTTTGTTCAGTCCTACTTTTGATTTAATTATCATGTATTCAGTTAGATTATTTTAGATCCAAACAAGATGGACACTACATTAAAGTGACTGAGGTTGCAATTTGATTTAACGAATGAATTTGTTGAGTTTATATGATACTTTATTGTTGTCGATGCTACAATTTGTTCGCTAATTCAACACATTAGACATGTGGTGTGATGGTATTGGTGAGCCTGTGTGGCCTGATGGATGCGTCCTTTTTGGTAATGCTTATTTTTGTTAATTGTTTTTTTTTGGTCACGGAGTACCTTTAGGCACGGACTTTAACTATAACTAGTACATAAATATTATCATATTATACATTTTTTTGTCAAGAGTTACCTAAATTATTTTTTGTCCATATTTAGATATCACGTGACAAATTTATGATAAAAAAACGTTAATAATTTAAATATTATATGCTTGAGAGATCACATAGAAATATATTCAATATTTCAGGAATTAAAATAATACAATTGAAATATTAAAGACCAAAATAAGATAAACTATAGATTTTAGACACTTTCAATGCAATTAACCATTTTCTTTGAAAATGTTCCGAGGACTGATGGGATTGTGGGATTTTAATGCCAGGAAAGCTGTAAGTCCAGCTTCACTTAAAAGGGAATGAAAGGTGAGAATAGGAATGGCTTTAGCTTCTGGCTTATGTTTTCCCACAATTCATGGAAAACCCTATGCTTAATTCAAATGCATGTCCATCAACATTACAAGTACAATATGTGATGATTACTTTTTCCTCAATTTTCTTCACTAAATGAATTATATTGGAAGGCTATAACCATGACAATTGAGGTGTTGTTTTTGGGTCTTGTATAGTATCATCAAAAAGAAAAGAAAAATGGAACAGAGGGGGGGAGAGGATTGCGGGTTTACGAGGTTGGGGAGTGGTGGTTGTGGATGGTCATGGGTGGAAAGAGAGTAATGGTGTCAATCGTGTTATGTCGTATAACTTTCGGTCGTGTTATTTTTGTATCGGGTCAATTTCGGTAAGTGTTGAATTCGTGTTAATAAAAAATTATTTAATTTCACAACAACTTATATAATACTATTTAAAAAATTAAAAAAATGATAAATTTTTTATTTTTTGTCTATAATACTCATTAAATACTTATTTTTTATTTACAATATCCGTTAATCGTGTTATTCGTGTTGAACCTTAATTTGACTAATTTATTACTCATGTTAATGAATAAAATTGATATCCCTAAAAGAGAGGGTAGAATAAGAGGGAAGCAAAAAAAGAGATGAGGAAGTAGTGAAATTTTTTTTAAAAAGAAGGCTTTAATTTTTATTTTATTTTTCAATTTGAATGCCCCCATTACAAACCCATCAATGCATATAACCCAACATGTCTATATGCAATCATACTGCTGCCCATCTGCAACAAATAAAAGTTAACTTGAGCAAGAATACAAGTGTGCTACTGTTAAATCATACATACACGAACAGCCTGAAAAAGTTGGAAAAAGGGGAAGGAAATGGTGTAAGTCACATATATCCGTATGTCAAATCATACCAGCAGTGAATTATGTTTCATGAATTGTTTAATTTCAACGTAGATAATATATTTTTTGATCGAATCGAAAAATAGATTAATCAAAATACATGTAAGTTGACCCACGAAATAAGAATATGCTTATGCGTATCCAAATTTTGATCATTACTTTTGCAATCCAAATTTTAAATTTAGCAAATAGAACCACAAAGAGTGGGTCCTAGATGACAAAATTTGCACCGTTTTTATGTAAAGGCATGGTGGGGTCTCTCTTGTCCCTTTTCATTAGAGGGGTAAAAAGTGAACTAAGTTTCTCGTGAGTATCGTATTTCGGTGTGCATGGTTTGTGTTCGATTGAATTGAAATTTATAAAACGTATGATTTTATAAAACAGGTGGTTTAAAGAAGATTTAAACCCTCTAATTTTGTATTGTCATATCAAATCGTGTTATATTTTGACACATCTATAAAATAACTATATTTGATTACCAAATTGATTTACAGAAAGTGTGCATCAAAAGCAAAGTAAGCTTTGTTTCAAATGCTGACTAAAAACGCAAAGTGAAGCATAGTAAATGAGGCCGCCGGCAGGGGGAAAGCAATGTAAGTTTTCTCCCACCACCGCCATCGTGATCACAATCACCACCACCACCACCACCACCACCACAATCACCATTATTGATATTTCTACGATCCTCTCCCAACTACCACCATTGTATTATACCATCGCTACTCTCACCACTATTGACATGCATATATATATATATAATTTTTAATTTTTTATAATTATGACACAAATAAATGATAATTAATTTGTTATGATTACATATTCAATATCAAATTCAACGAGAGTACTACTCTTAAAAAATAACTCTATTGATAAAATATTTCATGAATTTCATTGTTTCTAATCGCCACCCGATTACAATTCCGGTTTCAACTTTTAGAGTATAAAATAAGGTAAATGTTATAAATAACCCCCTGAATTATACCTTTATTTTGAAATGCCTATATAAATTTTTAGTTGTTCCAATATGTCCTTGAAATAGAAAATTTATTTCAATTGACTCCTCTTGTTAAGATTGACCAATAATTGAGACAGATTTTGTTAAGATTAACCTATTAATTGAGATAGATTTCATTAAGTTATTGTCTTAATCTTAACGAAATAGGTCAATTGAAATAAATCACATAGTTCAAAGGAGTAGAGATGGCCCACAACAATTTGGGATTTAAAGTCTTTTATTTTTATATTAATGTTTATTATTTAAAATTTATTCTTCTCGTTTCTTAAAAGGAAAAATATATTAGTTATGTATCTCAATGAAGCTTTTTTTTTCGTTTGTAATATTTTTGTTAAAATGTTTATTCTAAAAAAATTTACAATCACCAATATCAGAAAAACTATCTTATTTTTAAAAAATGTTATTATATATTCTTAATTTCCAATGATTAAATAAAAATTTAAAATATTTTCATATACTTGAAATTGTTCAAATACGCTCTTTAGAGAAAAAATAGGTGTTGCAATAGATAGAGAATGCGATGTAGGGTGTTAGTGTAATGTTTATTTATTCATTTTTTTTGGGTGTAATGTTAGAACATCTCCGATAAGCTCTTCATTTCAATTTAACTTATGTTGTCACTCAATTTTTTACATTAGAGAGTCAACCGTTAAAATTTTATTGCTAATAGGCTCTCTAAAATAAAGAGTCCAAATTGACTTTTTATATTTAGAGAGTCAAAGTCATTCTCTATTCTACTATTTTGGAACAGAAAATAGTATAATTGTTTTTCATCCTAGACATTCAGGATAAAACATATCTCAATACTATTTACATCGAAACCAACTTGTTCCCTTTGTCGAAGTCGACACCGAATAGGATTTATTGGAAGAGTTTTTTTCCTGATCAAACTCCACAAGCATAACATCAAGATAGAAATATTAAATTAATTGCTCAAATTGCTTAAGTTGCCCAAATTGGTATACAAATTGTTATTATCTATTTTAAGAAAAAAAAAACTACAATTGATGAAAATTGGGTAATAATAAAGCTCATTGAATTTGATTATAATAAATCAAAAAATATTGTGTGAGGAGCTAACTCATTTTTTCTGTATTTACATAAAAATAGATAAGACTAAAAAAATAAAGGTAATACAAAATTAATTATTCCGCTGTGTAATATCAAATTTTTTTTTAGTATCTGTCTCTTTTAATTGTAATCATGTACGATTTAACGATTTTGTGTTGACTTGTTAATTTGAAAGACCGAAAAATTTTATTTGTTTATTGTCCAAATCTACTAAGGATAGACCTAAAGTCCAGACCCGTCCCTCTAGAGGACAAATTGGATAATTTACAATAAAGATCTTAATTCACCCTCTAAAAATATAATTTAGGCGCAATGAAAATTGTTTTTATAATGTTAAATAAAAAAAATTGTTTTATTAGAATTTAGATATTAATGTCAACAATACATACCTTCATTCTCTCTCACTCAAAGTCAACAATACGGCTTCCTTTCTCTTATTTACATACATACGTACAAACAAATCGCTTCTCCAAACACCCCCAAACGTCAAAAGAGGGAAGAAAAGACTTCCGAGAGAAATCTCCCATTTCTCCATCTGAAAACATGAGCAACGAATAGTCAGATTCTCTCTCTCTCTCCTCACTCTGTAGATTTCCTCTAATTTTTTTTTGCGATTTTTAATTTTTTTAATCTTAATTTTTGTTTCTTTGCAGCGATTATCTGTTCAAGCTTTTGTTAATCGGAGACTCATCTGTCGGCAAATCATGTCTTCTTCTCAGATTCGCTGTATGTTGGACTTTCTTCTTCTTCTTCTTATTCCATTTTTGACTCTTCACTCTACATGTTCATGTGTGGGTATTTTTAGTCATAATTTTTTTCTTGCCTTGAATTTTTGGGAATTTGTAGAAAGAGATTGCTGTAAATGTTTGTATGTGAAGTTAATTAAACTTTTTCAGTCACTAGTGTTTCCAAATTATCTTATTTTTTGTTGTTAATTTCAGGATGATTCGTATGTTGATAGTTACATTAGCACCATCGGAGTTGATTTCGTAATTCTCTCTCTCTTTCTCTCTCTCTCTCTCTATATATATATGTATGTACAGGATATAGCTTTGATGTTTAGTTCTGTGGTCTAGTAGACCTTAATTTGTGGTGAATTTTGGAATTTGACCTAAATTTTTTGGGTGATTGTCTCAGAAAATTAGGACTGTGGAACTGGATGGGAAGACAATCAAGCTACAAATTGTGAGTATTGCATGGCTCTCTCTCTCTCTCTCTCTATATATATATATATATATATGCATACTGACTTTTCTGGTCACTGTTCACGTTTGGGTAAGAGTTGTCTTGAAGAATGTTATATCTATGTATTAATTATATGTTGATTTAAAAGCTGGAAATGTGACTTCTACAAGACAAATGGGACTTCATGCTTTATGTAAAGCTTGCATTGTGTTACCTTTCATTTGTAATGGTTCTCGTGTTCAAACAAAGATCAAACTTTACATGATGGGTGGAGAGATATTTAGTTGTTTTTAACTAACCATTGGCAAGCCAAACTGCCTTTTTTTCACTATGAGAAAGGTCACGTGGGCACAATTTTTTTTCCACAGTGTGGTTATTGAGGGTATTCTTGATTTAAGCTCTGAATGGGGTTCGTTTTGAAATAATTTTTTAATGTTTTCTTGAATGTTTCGTGAGACTATGACATGGATTCTTAGCACTATCATGACATGCTCCTTTTTTTCTGCCAAGAGCTACAATTTTCAATTCAACTCTATTTAGTATTTATGCAGTTCAAGTTAGTCATGACTTTGTAGTTTAGATCAGTTAAAATCATCCCTGATCAGCATATAATAAGGAAAAAGGAAACCTGTTTGCAACAGAACTGTCTTGTGTTTATGGTTTTAAGCAACTAAAGATAAAGATGCACTGGTCTTTGTGCTGTTGCATTTTGATAACAATGAAAACCCAATGCAACATAAACTGTAACTGGCATTTCTGATACTGCTTAGGAGTTTGAGTCGAGTTATTCCAGCAACTCATAATTAACTGACTGGGAGATAATTGGTTGGCTTTCACTTGCACAATCAACCCTTTTGTTCTCTTCGTGCTTTTTATTTAGTGCCCCATTAGTCTAGAGAATATTGCGGCAGTTATGCAATAATTGGTTGTCTTGAAGATGCTTATTTTTTGATTTCATTTAATATATGATAATCATGTTTGTTTTCTGTCCTTTTAGTGGGATACTGCTGGCCAGGAGCGGTTCCGGACTATAACGAGCAGTTATTATCGAGGAGCACATGGGATCATTGTAAGAAATATTTCACTGTAGTTTTCTCCAGTTGGAAATCTTCTGGATCTCAGAGATTTGGGGCCCTCGACTTTATAATCATCACTGGTTGGCATTTCGTCTGAACCATATAAATTCACTACTAGCTTTCCTGCAAGTTCCTGGAATGGATCCAGATGATGTTGTGTATCTCTTTTCTCGACCAATACCATCACAATGCAATTTAACCCAAAAAAATACCATAGCAATCCTGCTAAGTTGGTTAGAAAAACATTTGACATTGGGGACTGGTGCAAACAGAAAGCAGTGTTGGGAGGGCATTGGTGTTGTCCATGTTTGTCAAATTTATTTGCACCCCTTGGCAGTTTGTTGTAATATTTGAGCCTGTGAAATTCATTTTTCATTGATATCCATTCTATATCAACCTAATTTTGAGCATGTTATCATGCTTCTTGTGTTGTTCAGTAGATGATAAATGGTATTGTATTATGGTTTCAAGGGCACTGTGACCCCAAGAAAAGTAGTTTACAAAATCTTTGTTTTGTTTGATTGACAAGGGTTTCTTACATGTATTGATAACATAACAGATTGTTTATGATGTCACTGAGATGGAGAGCTTCAACAATGTTAAGCAATGGCTGAATGAGATTGATAGATATGCAAACGATACTGTTTGCAAGCTTCTGGTGGGGAACAAATGTGATTTAGTTGAGAATAAGGTTGTGGACACACAAACTGCAAAGGTAGAGCTTGTTTCCTTATTTGCTAAGATTCCATTTATCAATTCTATATGGCCTCATTTCATTCTTTCATGATGAGTTTCTGCTCTATGAGTGGGCCTTCTCTGTAGAGAACTTACAATGATTAAATGGGACATCTGCAAACAAATGCAACATAGTTGTCGCATAAGTTATCAGTTCAATATATATTAGTATTAATCTCTCTGTGTATTTGATTTGTGTATCATTTTCATATTTGAAAACCAGACTGATGCTCCCTTGGTTGTTTGACGTGCTAAAGTCTTACTTCCAGCCAAAAAGTCTTGATAGATTCTGAGTTCCATTTTTCAGTGTACTTTGGATGTTAAATCATTCATGGAATAAAAGGGAGGGGAAAGCGATTGAATGTCATAGATTGTGATAGACCTACTATCAATGAAAGGTAGTCTTTTCAGTGGGAAGTGTTTCCCATGAGAAGTGATAAACTGAGTTGGAAATTTTGATAAACATGTTAATGGTATTACTCTATTTGTCAAGAAGTTGATCAAAGAAGTGCATTTTGCTGCAATATACACTGGTTAATATCGTTTAGAATTATACTTTGCTGTGGATTCCACAGAACAGCCTCCAAAAATTCTGGAAAAATCCTAATCTTATACATGAAAAGTATATTTCAGATGAATTAGCTATGGTTGTTTTGTGACCTTCATTCAATGGGCATGACATATGTCCAAGACAGCGAAAGCCTCTTGCTTTCAGCAGGGTGTGGCTTAGTGGGCTTCTAATTTGATGGTTTGACCATTTTGTCTCTAGCTTCTCAGGCATCTTGTCTATTAAGACATGCCTTTCAAAGCTTTTATGTTTCTGTGTATCAAAACTGTGTGGATATGTGAAGTTGTCTCTTTGGGAGTAGGAGTCTGATGATACTTGCAATCACTTCGTTTGCCATGTACAACTAGACTGTTGAGGTAGTTTTCCTTTTTCAGTTCTATATCTTGCGAATATAATGAGATTAGTTTGTTGGGCAGATTACTACAATCCAGCAGCCGGTTTTAAACTAATTGTGGACATCAGAAAACCTTTGATGATTAAATTACTTTGTTTTTTTATTTTTTTAAAATTAATTTTTCATTCTGCTTTCTGGTCTAACATAGTTCTCTGTATCCACGCCTATGTGAACTGTAGGCATTTGCAGATGAGCTCGGGATCCCTTTCCTCGAGACTAGTGCAAAAGATTCCATCAATGTGGAGCAGGCTTTCTTAACCATGGCTGGCGAGATTAAGAAAAAGTAAATCAATTAATCAACTCTGTCACTTTTATTCTATAGAATATGATTCTTCGCGTATGGTGGTTGTTTATTGGTTGAATATCAAAAACTCTGGTGATCTCTTAAATTTTCCAAGAGTCATTAAGAAAACAAAGTCATTATTCACTTGAGATGATGAAGTTCTGCTGCAATACAGACCTGACATCATGTTCATTTTCTGGCCATTCTTGCTTTTGCTAATCTCCGATGTCCCGTGATCTTATACTTGATACTAGAGCTCATTTACGTTTTTCTAAAACATTCAAATGTCACATTTTTGCAGAATGGGTAATCAGCCAACTGCTGCCAAGAAGTCAGCTACTGTTCAAATCAAGGGGCAGCCAATTGAGCAGAAGAGCAACTGTTGTGGTTAAGCATTCAAGTTGGTATTCTTGGCTCTGTTATAAAGATGGTAAAACATTCAATGACTATTGTCTGTGGACCTTTCACTACCAGTTGTATTGCCAACTTTTTTTATTTTGGTAAATATATTGCTCACTGTTAACCCAAAAGTTTTTTGTCCCCTTTTGTTTTTGTACCTCCATTTGAATGAATGACCATGAATCAGCCTCACCACAATAGAGGTGAGATTGATTATCACTTAATCACTCCCAAACTCCACTACAAACAGAAGTCTTGTAGTTGGGTATTTTTCTTTTTGGAAGAGGGAAGAAGAAAAATAAAACTCTTTATAATTGCTCACAGGCGTATGATTATATCTGGGAGAGTTGTCATTTTGTTATGACGTTTTTCCCAATGAAGTTCAAGACTATGCTTATTTGATTGTGCCCATATCATTATTTCCAGATTCAGATTCTCACAGATAACAGGATTCTGTTGGCTGGACTTTGTTTTTTTATTTTTTGGTTCCTAGATTATTCTTTCCAGATTCTCACAGTTCCAGGAATTCCGTGAGCTGGGCTTTTTCTTTTTAATTTAATTATTTTTTATAATGGATGTTACTGACCTCTACCACCAAAGCAAACCTAGCATGCTATGATGGAAATATAAGTAAATCTAGCATGATTGGTGCAACTACATTATTGAATGCATGATAAACCCAATAATGTGTTACCTCTTTGTCTTATCTGAGATCTCAAATCAGTGTGCTATGTATACAGAAGGTTACTATTCTCTTGATCCAACGGTAATCCAGTAGGGTCAGATATGAGCTGTAAATTCAATCATAGTTAGTTTTAAACTTAACAATTTTTTTTTGAAATTTAATTATGAGTGATTTATCGTTTATAAATTTTTTAGTCTAGACTTGTTTTTAATCTGACTGAAAAGATAATTAATTGAGATATATATAAAAAAAAGAAGAGTGAGATCTATGAAGCACGGATATGGATACGAAATGTAGGTAGGATATAATATAGATATATTGATATGACAAAATCTAAAAAAGTAAGATATGGGTACGGCTGAAATACAGTTATAATAAAATATATTTAGTACTTTTATTATTTTCAACTAGTTTAATACTTATATATTTTGGTAGTTTTTTATCACACAATAAGAAAATTTAATAATTTTTTTTTAATTTCAAGAAAATATATATCGTATTACTATGATATATTTATAAAGTGAAGTGACTAATTAAACGAATTAAAACTAATATTTACTTGGTATTTAGAAGTAATTTTTGTTATGATTATAATATAATAGTTTTATTTTATGCTCTTTTGACATGTAATTGTAAATTATATTTTAAAAACACTCATGTGCCTTTGAAGTAATATAAATTTCTATTAATATATTGTATGATATGTGAATTCGAAAAGAGATGTTAAAAATTTAACTCAAAAATTATATATATTGTTCGTCCACAAAAATATTTGTGAATTATCTTAATATCTAATTATTATCGAATATGTAAAAAGTGTATATGATACGTATGCTCAAATATTCGACGAATATCGTATTTAATACGATATCCGATTCAAGTATTCTAACCTTAACAAAATATTTGTGTTTCATAGAATAAGATATATAATATTTCCTAAAAAGGTGCCGAGTATAAGTGGCCTGTTCCCTTTCCCTCCGATCAACAATTGCTTAGATGGTGTGGGCTTGTAGGTCCCTTTCTGTCAAGTGTGTTTGAGCTGTGTAATGTGTGAATTTTGTATTTGTTTGACCAAAAAAACAAAGATGTTTGTCCCACATCGTTGACTCAGTACCAAAGGTTTGAGTATAAGTGGTTTGCTCTCCTTTTCTCCGGTCAGCAATTGCCTGGTGTAGACTTGTGGGTCCCTTTCCGTCAAGTGTGTTTGAGCTGTGTGATGTGTGAATTCTGGGTCTATTTTCCTTTGTGTGTGTTTGAACCAAAAAAAAAAAAAAGAACAAGGAAGACTCCATATGTAAAGTGATTGTAATCCCATATGCACTAAGGAATATAAATTTATAAAGAATAGTCAATGTCACAATAAATTCTGATGACATTAAAGAGACCTTGGTCCTTCAAAGAATGCCGCGCAAGTTTGATCTTTTTTCTCAAAAGTACAAAAATAACTCAAAAATAATAGACCTCAAGCACATCCACAAGGAAAAACTTAACATCCCAACAGCATTGAACAAAACCAAGTTCAAAAATAATATATAGATTCAAAACAATAAATTGCCAAAAAAGGAACGAAGAGGGGGAAGGACATATAAAGGCAGAAAATCAGGATCACAAATTCGCAATCATTAAGATGAAGAACAGCAAGGCTTCTTCGTGTTGACTTCCTGTCCAACAACAAGCGTTTGCCCTTCCTTAATGCTAGTAGTTGCAGGTTCGTTTGAAGAAAGTGACTTCTTACTGATGATCCTGTATATCTCAGCAAGAATGGTCTGGAAAGCCTTCTCGACGTTTGTTGCTTCTAGGGCAGATGTTTCGATAAAAGAAAGGCCTTCTTTCTCAGCAAAACCTTGAGCATCCTCCGTAGCAACTGCTCGGAGATGCTTCAGATCAGTCTTATTTCCAATAAGCATGATCACAATGTTGGCGTCTGCATGATCCCTCAGCTCCTTCAACCACCTGCTCACATTTTCAAATGTTGTCGGTTTTGTCACGTCATAGACAAGAAGAGCTCCTAGGGCACCCCTATAGTAAGCACTGGTTATTGCTCTGTACCGCTCCTGCCCTGCCGTGTCCCATATTTGTGCCTTCACTGTCCTTCCCTCAACCTGAATAAAGATTAGTAACAAACATATGGATTTATTAAATTGATTATCACAACAGATGAAAAATTAGCATTGCTAACTATACATGCACCACACTTCGCATCCAATAATTAACCCAAGAGCAGCCACATCGAATAAAAATCTGTAAAATTCTAAAGAGGAATTCATATCCCAAGTAAGAATAGCATTGTACACTGAAATTAAACAACTGTTTTCAACCAACGAAAACCTTGATCATATGGAACTAGGAAATGAGAGTATTCGAGCTCAAGCTATGCAGGCATGAGCTTTGCGCCCAGGATTGTATGCTACAAAAGAACCCACAGATATAATATAGCAACGGAATTGAGCACGAATTGAAAATTCAAAGAATGATGACAACCAAAGAGCTAAGATGATCCAGTGAGGGTGCCAATGAGCTATAGTGACACAAAATCAGATGATATCCTTACTGTCATGCTGCCTTTGCCAAAAAATGGTGGCTAAGTTCGTTGGAGGTGGTTGTAACTTAGATAGCACTTCAAACACCGTAAACCCAAGACTAACTCAGAAACCAAGCCTAAACAAAATCCTTTACTCATTAACAATAATAACAGTGATCAACAACAAAAGTGGAGGGTGAACTCCAAAGGAGAGAGAAGAGGGAAGGGGCAAGCAGAAGAATCAACTCCATAGGGCTTACAATTCTTCCGGCAAGGAGGAAACAGGAGAAAAGGGAGAAAAATAGTTTTCCTTATGAGGAGAGGATTAATTCAGGCATGCTAGGATGACTCAATTAGCATTCCCATGTAATAGTCTATGAAAAACTCACATTCACTATTACTTGCATTCCATATGCTGCTCACTTTCTTCCATATAAAGTTGCTTTCCCTTTTATGAACATTTTCACCCAATCAAGAATTTCAATGGATGGAGGGGTGAAGATAACCTTTGTGAAGAAAAAAAGACTTTAAACATAAATACCCTGGTATACTGTTATTTAAGACGTAAAGTGAACCGAAGCGTTTAGGTCTCCTAAGATGAGATGCGAGTGGCAACAAGTGAGCTTCATCTAAGCAAGACGAATAGTATAAAAATCAAGCAAATATTTTAGTTTAGTTACTACTAAATATTCAATTTTTTTTTAAACAACATTTACATGGGGAGGGAACAATGACGTTCAAATCCACGAACAACTCCAAGGCATTGGCCATTGGCCCAACTGCTGAATTCTCAAATATTCAAGTTCCAACTTCTCAAATACTAATACTAAATGTTCAAATGCAACCAAAACCAAAAACATTTAAATTGAAAAAATACCAATAATATCTCAAATCTCTATGGCAACCAAAAGTATAAATTTTTGAATTCAAAAAACAAACAATAATATTGCAATGCTTAACAACAACCAAAAGTGTAAACATTCAAATTAAAAAAACACCAATAAATCTCAAATCCTAACATTTGAAAACAGAAAATACACAAGTCAAACAACTAAAAATTTTATCAATGCTTTCACAGATCTTGAGGATTTAGAAATAATCCTAGTCACCAAGCAAAAGGAAAAAAAAACAAATGCATTTGCCTCGTCAATTTTTTATTGAGTGTGAAGCACTCACCTTTGGCGCTTAAACGTCACTTAGGGAAAGCTCGCTTCGCCTTGGACACTTAAGACGTCCTTAGCTTGCCTAAACTCTCCTAAGTGATTGCCTAACCATGATTTTAATAACACTGCCCCCACCAAACAATCTAAATAAAGGCAGGAAGAAAAAACTCAACCTTCGAACAAGATTTTCCCTCATTAAGGAAATACACCTGGAGCGCAATAGCTTTTACTTTAGGCAGTCAGAAATTGTTGAAGTGAGGAAAAGAGAAGAAGCCGCATCTATTGAGGAGACAAGAGTAACGGATCTCTAATAAATCTTAATACACCTAGACAAACTTTTCATACACTTGCAATGGTTTTTAACACAAACATATCATTCTCATGTATTCCATTCCTACTCATTATCTTGATACACAAAGAAAAATCAGGAATTTTATCAAATTCAAATAATTAAGACATTATTGGATGTTTCAAAACAGCACAAAAAAAAATACTCAATTTTAATCATGAGACTATAAACTCACACAACTGCAATGTAAATAGAGACTCCTAAAGAGCATATATGTTATGATATTTTATTCAAAATAATGTTTCTTTTCTGTAAGGGGGAGGGGGTCCAACTGTGTGAACTATAAACAGGTGGCATCCCTCCCCCACCCAAACTCCCTCTCCATACATTGTTTCTCCACTAGGAAACAAAAAATATTTTACGTTTAGACATGGAAATGGACATATGCAAGAGAATACATTCCATTATTGATAACACGTAATATACTTAATGAATTGTTTTTTAGCCATGGGAAAAATCACCATGAACCAAGAACGAGAGATTGGAAACAGTGAACACTGATTCTACCTAGTTGACGGGTATGAAAAGGAATTCACAGAGGTACAAACTGCTATATTTTATTCCTCACAATTAATACTTAAAATAAACCACCCTTAACAGTAATATCAACATTATTGATAACTTAAATTCTCAATGTCACCCATTTAGATATCATACCTTTTATCACTATAGTACAATAGCTTTAGAACCTCCCTGAATGGTAATATAACCCAATCTCTTTAAGACTCACTCCAATCATAGTTCATCTTAAACTTAATGTTTCTTTAATTAACTGATAGTTGCACGCAAAATCTATACTATGAAATGTTAGTCCCATACTTTGCCCACACAATGTTCACTACTATTGTACATCAATCAAATGACCAACAAGATCAGCACAAATGCAGCAATTCCCAATCTGATTATAAATCACCGCACAAACAAGACAATGTTCAAACTTCCTAACCAATAAAATCCATCTACTTAAAAATTAAATACAAACGAAATTGTGTTATCCTCACAAGCCCAAACCACTACTAACCAGATTCAACAAATAAGATCAACATTGTGAATTTATTTCTTTAGATCTTGAACTGTAGTAGGCAAGACTTCTTTTATATGGAGTGGATTATCACCCATGTCACTTTCGGTTCTATTGAAGACTTCCTTTAAGGAATACGGTTGAGACAAATTATGGCTCTTTTCTTCTAGATTTATCTCTAAATATTGTTAAATAATTTTTCTTTTAGAATCTGGATCTTGAATTTTGTCAAAATATTTATACTCAATCCAACTAAAATAGCTTTATAATAATCGTTTTCGGCTTTACAATGTGAAGAGCAAACTTTGTCTTGTTCTAAAAATTTTTTATCAGATGAATTACTAATTTCATTAATATTGTAATCTTCAAAAAGAAACTATCAGAATATTCTTCTAATTCAATTTTTGAGTTTAATTCAATTTTAAAGATTCTTTCTTTTAGGTCCTCATCATTAATTAATTCATTAATCTGTTGTTTAGTTGAGCATTTTGAAGCAATATGCATAACATCTATATCTTCTTTCAAAATTTATGTCTTCTTTTGAAGCAATATACAGAACTTGTATATGTCTGTATATATACAAGAGAGAGATAGAGAGAATGTGAGTGTTAGATCTGTACTATACAAACTTAAAAAGGAATAAGATCAATGGAAAACGATAGGACAAAGTGCGACCCAATGCCTATAGTTCAAGTAGAGCAAGAACAAATGTAAGAGATCAGACATATGTGGGATCGAAAGATAACCAATTTTAGAGAGAGAGAGAGAGAGAGAGAGGACCTGAAGAGTACGGGTGGCAAATTCGACGCCGATGGTGGATTTGGATTCCAAGCAGAATTCATTTCGGGTGAATCGGGAAAGTAAGTTAGATTTCCCCACTCCCGAATCGCCGATTAACACTACCTTAAATAGGTAATCGTATTCCTCGTCCGGTCTCCTCGCCATCTCTCTCTCTATCTCCAACACACAGAGCAGTTCCAACACTTCCTGTAGAATCGGTCGCTGGAAATTATACCAGAGGCCTGTAAATGATAGCTGATGATCGGGGATTTTTATGCCCGAAATACCCCTGCAATGTTTGTTGGCGGTAATTTTTGCCCCAATGTACCCCTATAGTTTTCTTGAATTTCTGTAAATTTAGAATTAATTGCATCGGAGGTTCTTAAATATAAAATTTATCTTATTTTGATCTCTAAATTATTGAATACGTTTTTATATGGTCCCTCAAACAGACAATATATAAATTATTAACAATATTTTTATCATAAATTTGTCACATAATACCTAAATATGAACAAAAAATAATTTAGGTAACTTTGACATAAAATGTGTACTCTGAATAACTCTTCTCTAAATTTTGGATAGCTCATGATCAAAATTGTATAATTTGATTAGTTTTTTGACCAAAATTTGGTTAAAAAATTATCAAGAGTTATCTAAATTATTCTTATTTTTTACTCATATTTACTTATTATGTGATAAATTTATAATTAAAAATCATTAGCAATTTGGATGTTGTATGTTTGAGGGACCACATAAAAATATATTCTGATGAGTCCGAATTTTACTGGGCCAAGCCCAATAAAAATAAGTCGAGAAAGCCCAAAGAAAAGTCCAAGAATAGATGAATCGACCAAGGAGTCAAGTGGGAGTCCAAAACAGAGACCACGCCCATGTGGCTTCAAGTGGGCGCTGTCCATGCCTTGCCCATCCTCCCCTCCTCACTTCACTCCAATGCAAGTCTAAGATCACTTCGGGTCCAAGCCCAAAGTCAAGTACAAGCTCAGTCCAGTTCAAGACCCTCTTCTGAAGAAATAGCAGCACGAGAGAGAAAATGTCGGGATAGGCACAGAGATCTCCTACCATAGTTGTACTTACTAAAACAGTAAAAGTCTTCCTTCTCACGTCACTGCCTCACCGCCTCATCGTCTCATCACACCTATATAATGTAAGCCCTCTCCATATAGAGGGCATGCTTTCATAACCTTGAGATTCCTACACACTCTACACCTTCTTACACACACTACTCTCTCTCTCTCTCTCTCTCTCCAAAGCACTGTAATACATCGAAGTTACTCTCCCGGTGACACTGTTCATTAATAAAACACCTCAGGCCACCGTCGCCTTTCCCAAGAGTGGAGTAGGTCACCCAGACCGAACCACTATAAACCTTTGTGTTTTCTCCTTATTTACTGCTTTAATCATTAATTACTTATTATTGCTCACTAATTGCACCCGTTTGTATATTTGACTGTTGATTTTGCGCGAAGACAATTTTGTGCATCATCAGTTTGACGCTGTCTGTGGGAAAGACTAAATTCCTACTCTCATTTAATCCATGACAATCACTACCCCCGATCTATGAGCCAGCAACCGGGAGACAACAACCCAGCTCACCAGGAGGAGGCTCTGCCTCCCACTGCACCTGTGGAACCTTTCGCTACTATCATCCCGCTGCTGGATAGCAGCAACAACTCCTCCAGACCATGCAGCTGCTGGTGAGCCAAAACCAGCAAATCATCCAACTCATACTCTCCCAAGGAGACGTCGCCCCTCCCCTCGCAGGAGGAGCCCCACTCCCTCCACTGGGAGAAGAACAACTGCCTATCCTTCCTGGGCTCTAGAGAGCCCCCCACCATGGGGCCCCTCGCCAGACCACTCTGGGAACNTCTCTCTCTCTATCTCCAACACACAGAGCAGTTCCAACACTTCCTGTAGAATCGGTCGCTGGAAATTATACCAGAGGCCTGTAAATGATAGCTGATGATCGGGGATTTTTATGCCCGAAATACCCCTGCAATGTTTGTTGGCGGTAATTTTTGCCCCAATGTACCCCTATAGTTTTCTTGAATTTCTGTAAATTTAGAATTAATTGCATCGGAGGTTCTTAAATATAAAATTTATCTTATTTTGATCTCTAAATTATTGAATACGTTTTTATATGGTCCCTCAAACAGACAATATATAAATTATTAACAATATTTTTATCATAAATTTGTCACATAATACCTAAATATGAACAAAAAATAATTTAGGTAACTTTGACATAAAATGTGTACTCTGAATAACTCTTCTCTAAATTTTGGATAGCTCATGATCAAAATTGTATAATTTGATTAGTTTTTTGACCAAAATTTGGTTAAAAAATTATCAAGAGTTATCTAAATTATTCTTATTTTTTACTCATATTTACTTATTATGTGATAAATTTATAATTAAAAATCATTAGCAATTTGGATGTTGTATGTTTGAGGGACCACATAAAAATATATTCTGATGAGTCCGAATTTTACTGGGCCAAGCCCAATAAAAATAAGTCGAGAAAGCCCAAAGAAAAGTCCAAGAATAGATGAATCGACCAAGGAGTCAAGTGGGAGTCCAAAACAGAGACCACGCCCATGTGGCTTCAAGTGGGCGCTGTCCATGCCTTGCCCATCCTCCCCTCCTCACTTCACTCCAATGCAAGTCTAAGATCACTTCGGGTCCAAGCCCAAAGTCAAGTACAAGCTCAGTCCAGTTCAAGACCCTCTTCTGAAGAAATAGCAGCACGAGAGAGAAAATGTCGGGATAGGCACAGAGATCTCCTACCATAGTTGTACTTACTAAAACAGTA